AACATTCTGTAGAAAAGTACAACATAATGCTGAGAAAAATTAAAGAAACCCTAAATAAATGGACAGCTATAACACACTCATGGATCAGAAGACCCTATATTGTTAAGGTGTCCATTTTCTCCAAGCTAATCTATTCAATCCCATCTCTATCAAAATCCTAGAAGGCTTCTCTATAGAAATTGAAAAGTTCTAAAACTTGAATAGAAATACAAAGGATCTAGAGTAGGTAAAACAATTTTGAAACAGAACAAAGTTGGAGGACTAACACTACCTGATTTCAAGACTTGTAAAGCCTTGGCAATGAAGACAGTATGCTACTGGTGTAAAGTAAAATCAGTGAAATACAACAAAGTTTCCAAAAATGTAATCAAGCCTATCAGGCCAATTGATTTTTACAGTCTCTAAGACAATTCCACAGAGGAGAAAGATAATCTTTCCAACAAATGGTACTGGGACAATATGATATCTACTTACAAAATATTAACTTCAACCCTTGTACAAAAACAAAAAACCTCTGTCAAGGTAAACGGTTGAAAAAAAAAAAAAGAGAAAACCCAACAACCTCAAAATAAAGCATAGACCTAAATGTAAGAACCCAAACTATGAAACTTCCAAGTGAAAACATAGGACAAAATCTTAGTGACTTTATGTTAGGCAAAAATTTCTTAAACAGGAGACAAAAACCATGAACCCTAAAGGACAAAATACACTGGACTTCATCAAAATGAAAATCTTTTGCTCTTTAAAAGAGAACTGTTTATAAAACAAAATAAATCCTGTTGGTTTTGTTTCTCTGGAGTACTCTGAGAATACACATGCCTTGTTCTCCTCTTTGGATGGATCACCAGACCAATGCTCCAGCCTCGGTTCTCATTTCTTTGCATATCTTAGACATGTGACATTTCTCCTGGCTCCAGCCTGGAAATAGGAAACTCTTATACAGTTGTCTATCCTACCAGCTGCCATATTTCAGTCTTCTTATTTGTGTCCTACAGACTATCTGCTCCTCAGGGGCAAAAAACATAGCCTCATTTTCATGTCCCCACTGCCTAGCATTTTGATGATTGCAAAACCCAGGCAAAAGTGCACATTTCCACATCTGAGTAGCACACTTAGTCACATGCTACTTTCAATGGGGGGGAGGGGGGAAGGCTAAAAAGTTATAAACAGTCTAATGCTCAAAACTCAAGAAATGACAGTATTGTGATATACAGTGGTGGCATATCACAACTAATAAAAGTTTTCAAAGAACTTCTAGTTATATGGGAATAAAGTCATGCTTTAAATTTAAAAATATGAAATACAGACCAGACAGTTTAGAAATAGACCAAAAGACACGCAGACTTTTAGAACAGGGCAATTCAATTCAGTGGGGAAGAGATGGCTTATATTCATTAGAAAGAGCCTGGCTTTTCTTGGAGAGCCTGGCAACAGACCACTGACTTCGTGACTACAGTGGATGTGGAGCCTAGGAGCAGAGAATGAGCCTGCCGTCTGCCCTCTGCCCATGTGGGCAGGCAGCTTTGGACCTGAAAGACTGGGAAAAGGAGAGGTGAGTGAGGCACTCTGCTTACCCTGATCCTGGCCTTTGTTTAAAGTGGATATTTTGTTTATCATGGATTTTTTGCATTAATTTTGATTTTTAAATGATTTTAAAATATCATTTCTCTTGATGACTGAGTTTTTTGGTGGCCCCTTAAATTTTGCACCTGGGAGGAGTGCCTCACTTGCCTTACCCTAGAGTCCCAGCTCTGCCCATTTGGGAGAAACCAGGTGTTTCTCTTGCCAGCAGCATTGGAGAAGAGTTGAAATACCCACAACAGTGCTGGACATATAGTAAGTGCTCAGTAAACATTTCTTGAATATTCATTGAATAGGTGAGTAGGCTGAGACTGAGAGGCCTCTCTTGACATGACTCAGAAGAGAGGTTTTCAACTTACTGACCCAATCACCTCTGGTCCCCTAAACAAAAACACCTGCCAGTCCTTGCCATGTAAGCCCCTAATAGGCTGACCTGCACAGGTGTTGGTGGATCTCACATACACTGATACTTAAAGGCAAAAGTGATCTTAAGCCGCTTATGGAAATAGTATCTCCAAGGGGAAGGACCATGATGAACCAGAATAGGGGGATACTATGGAGGGCAGAGATCAGGAATGTAATAGAAGAAAATCATATTAAAAATGTAATGAGAGGCCGAGCATGGTGGCTCACGCCTGTAATCCTAGCAGTCTGGGAGGCCGAGGTGGGCGGATCGCTCAAGGTCAGGAGTTCAAAACCAGCCTGAGCAAGAGCGAGACCCCATCTCCACTAAAAATACAAAGAAATTAATTGGCCAACTAAAAATATATAGAAAAAATTAGCCGGGCATGGTGGTGCATGCCTGTAGTCCTACCTACTTGGGAGGCTGAGGCAGTAGGATTGCTTGAGTCCAGGAGTTTGAGGTTGCTGTGAGCTAGGCTGAACAGAATGAGACTGTGTCTCAAAAAAAAATGTAATGAGAACTCCCAAGCAGACGCAATTAGAACATTCAAAAACATTTTCCCAATTTAAAAATCCAAACAGAAGAATTGGAAAAGTGAATGGTCGCTCCTCAAAGAAAACAAAATTCAGTCTAAAAATATACAGAAATGAGCATCATGAGGGAAAAGGTAAGGGCATGGGAGACAGACAGCTCTGCTGGGCTTATTAATCCTCAAATAATAAGATCTCAAGGGGCAAAAAAGAGACCAGAAGTAATAATCAAATAAATAATAGAGGAACACTTTTCTGAAGAGAAAAAAACCTTGAATCTTCAAACTAAAAGCTTCACCAACTCACAGGCAGAACATCAAAAAAGGATACGCACCTCTTGCACCTGGTGAAATTTCTGAACCTCCAGGATGAAGCGAAACTCTTACAGGTGCCAGGCAGAAAGAACAGGTCTCTCAGAAAGGAAGAGGAGTCTAGCAGTGTGCAGGCCTGCTTGCACACTTCCCTCTCCCTGCTCTCAATCCATCCCTTGGCAATGCCTAGTGATGCCTGATTAAATCTGCCTCTTCCCTACTGCCTGCTGCTGAGTGGGCTGGAGAAACCCCACCCCGGTTTCACTTTACATGCATGGGAACCTCTTTCACTTTACATCAGGGAACCTCAAGTGGGCCAGGCAATCCTACATCCCCTACTGCATCCATACCTCCTCTCAGCCTTGCTTGCTCCTCTGAGTAACTGAAAGAGCCCAGAATCTTTGCCGATTTCCAGCACAATATCTACTCACTTCTGCACACCTGCACTCATCTACTCCTCCCTTCTCCACCATTAAGAAACAGTTCTGATGCTCTAGTGTGAGTTCCCTCTCCCTTATTGAAGGACAAGTCTCCATTCTCTCATACATCAATTTTCTGCCCTCAGTCATTGCCATCAGCACTCAAACATACTGTTATTTCTTCCACCTTAAAAAACAAACAAATCAAACTTCCTCTCTGCCCCACTTCTCCTTCCTATTACCAGCTAATTCTTTGTTCTTCTTCGCAGCAAAACTCCTCAAAGAGTTGTCTATACTACTCACCTACAATTCCTCTCCTCTTTTTCTCTTTTTGGAACCACTCCAATAACATCTTCTTTTCCTGAATTCCATGGGGTCCACTGTTAAGGTCACCAATAACTCCACGTGGTTAAAAGCAGCAATCAATTCTCGCTCCTGATAGCACTTGGCATATCAAGAGATAATTTCCTTTTCTCCTCCCTGACACAGTTTCTTCAATGTCACTTGGCTTCCAGGACATCACACCCTCCTGGTTGTCTTGCTGCCTCAGTGGTGCTACATCTTGGTCTCCTTTCCTGGACCTCTTCTTATGACCTGTGTTAATTTGGTCTAAATTAATATTACTATGCTCTTAAATAGAGGCTGTCCAACTTTCATACATTGTCAGCCATTCTTTAGAATAATGATTTTCTTTTGATGAAAAGTTATAGAGAGATATCCTTAGCAGTGAGAAAAAAAAAAAGAAACAAAATTAAAATAACTGTCAACCAGCAAAAATTAACAAAAATGATAATGACTATTTAGCCAGGGTTACCTGGCCTGGGAAAAGACCAATTTGCTGGTGACCCTGCATCCTGGTTAAGTCAGTCACCAATATCTCTGGTTGCCTTTCTGAAATGTGTTTCTACCCTTTAAAACAGTAATTCTATTTTGGGAAAACCCACTAAGACAATAAACTTAAAAAGAAAAATTTATGTTAGTTGTAGAAGGACAAATACAAGTGGTGCATTTATAAGGCAAAATATATAAATAAAATGGAAGGGCCAGTGGTGGTGGCGTGGCTGGTGTGAGCAGTGGCGATGGCCAGGTTTGGGCGGACCAACAAACAGCTAAACTATGGAAGATTGACATATTGAAATATTTTCTAAAGTAAATTCATGAAGTCTATATTAACATTATAAATGTTTAAATAATATATTTTTGGAGACCAGGTGGAGGTGACGGGAGAGTCTTTGTGTTGACTAGGCTGGCTCCCCAACTCCTGGGCTCTAGCCATCCTCCAGTCTCAGCCTCCTGAGTAGCTGGGATTAGAGGCACGTGCCACCGTGCCAGGCTAAATAAAAATAACCTTAAGGGGGCAAAAGAGTAGCAGAACGTACAACTTAACATACTGGCTATAGTTCTATAAAAACAATTAGTGCTATAAATATTCATTTGAGAAAAGGTTATTATCATAAAAGTTATTGCCTTTCATGAGCATGGCAACATGCTGGGCAGTGACCAGAAAACTGCCACAAATGTGCAGGCGCTATGCACAATAAGGAAGTCCAAGCTGTGATGTGGGTTCCCTCCATGTCCCCTCTAAACTCTGGGTATAGGATGGGGTGCACTGCCTGCCAATCAAGGGTTCCACGTGCCGGGCTCTGACGCTCCACCTGGAGCTCACTTGGCGCCGGCGCTAAGCGCGTCGCGCCTCCCTCCCTCCCGGCCGGCTCGCCGCCGCCGCCAGGGGGCGCCGCAGGCTGCCCGGCGCGCGGCTCGCGGCCCGGGAACGCCGGCGCAAGGGAGCGGGTGAGCGGCGGAGGCCGGCCTGGCGGCGGCCATGGACCGCTTCGTGTGGACCAGCGGCCTCCTGGAAATCAACGAGACCCTGGTGATCCAGCAGCGCGGGGTGCGCATCTACGACGGCGAGGAGAAGTAGGGCGCGCCCCGCCCCCCGGCCAGCCCTCCCGAGGGGCCGGCGGAAGCGGAAGGGGCTCGGGTGGGCGCGCGTCCGGCCGGTGGCCCGGCCCGCTTGGCGTCAGCGCCGGCGGCTCTGTGTGCGGGCCGCCGCGTCGGTCCCCTCCACGCGCGTCGCCGGGCCTTGGCGCCGGCGTCCCCCGCGCGTCCGGCCGCTGCCAAACCGCGCGTGCGCAACTTTGAGCGGGTTCCCAGCGGGCGCGGATTGGGGCCACTTCCGTTCGCCCCCCGAAATTGTGAGGGGACACAGCCGGGGTGCGCCTCGGCGAAGGCTTGCTGTCCGTCTGCAGGCGGCGGGGTGGCGATAAGCACAGCTGAGTTCTTTGGCGTGGTTTCTGAATCTCTAAGGACACTGGGTCTCAGGCGCAATCACTGGGGCAGCCCATTCCGCCTTTTTGCTGGGAACGAGCTGCGGCTCTGCGTTCCCTGACCCTGCGGTGGCTTTGGCCGACCCTCAGGGGTCGGAGAATTAAGTTGGCTGCTCTGGCAACAAGATGGTGGCTTTGAAGGATTTTCGAGAGAGGTAGTGGCTTCTTGGGCTGTACTTGCTTATCGGAGTTTGTTTGTGGTTTCCTTTTTTTGGTAATTTCTTTAAAAAGGAGTTTTGAGCACGTTTTGTAAAGTGATGTATTACACTAGGCCACGCCTTGTAAGGCAGGCACAAATCTTAGGAGATGGGTTTGCAAATTGAGAACAGAAATATGAAATGTAAACGTTCTGTGGATACTTGGTGGAAGTACAAAATATCCCATCTTGGATTGAAATGTGTAAACTGGAATTAGAAACAATTGAAAACTCATTTATCTACAAGCATTTTTAGTTTCCATTAGTTTTTACTTGTTACCTCTGCTTCCTTGCCGTTAAGGAACTTGGCTCTATATACATTTCCTGGTCTGTGCTTACAGCTACCCAGAGGCACAGGTGGCGTTGGATTGGGTCCCCTGACTCTCTGGGGACATTTCTCATGGACTGTGTTGCTTCTATTATTGAGTCAAGGTGTTTCCTTAAATAATTTTTTTGGACTTAACTTCATTTAGTGCTTTAGCACTTTTATTACCTTGATCTCAAATTGGGTCTTGCTTTTTTTTTTGAGACACAGTCTTACTCTGTTGCCCAGGCTGGAGTACAGTGATGTCATCATAGCTCACTGCAACCTCAAACTCCTGGGCTCAACTAATCCTCCGGCCTCAGCCTCCCAAGTAGCTGGGACTACAGGCATGTGCTACCACGCCCAGCTAATTTTTTAATGTTTTCTTGTAGAGCCGGGATATCTCTCTGTTGCGCATGGTGGGTCTTGCATCTTTTGATTGGAGTGACAAGCTAATATTTTTTTCTTTCTTACTGAGTTTATATCTTTGGAACTGTTTCAAATGGGAAGTTTAGTTGACCTCCTCTCCCTCAGCTGGTTTGATTTTGCCCTTACTCTAAGAGGAACTAAATGTCAACAATGACAGATCTGTCCTCAAAGATTCCACCAGTGCTACTCCCTGGTAGTCATGCTTTTGCAGAGCATGGCACTCTGTTGTTTCATGGAACTCCAACATACAGATTAGGAACACCTTTACTGGCAGACAATATAGCTATGATATATATACATAGACCAATGCCCTAACCCTTAAGCTATGGAGCCAGCTATGATATATTTAAAACAACGTAAAATCACAACCATCAGTACTCTCTCTGTATAAAAAAAGCATTGTTGAACCAAGAAATTCTAATTTTTCCTTTAAAACTTTTGCTGTTTGTTTTAGCAGACCAAGTATATAGATGTCAGAGGTTTAAGAAAAAATTCATGGGAAAAAATTAGCCCTTTGATCTAGTAAAAAATTCTTAAGTCTCCTAACATCTTGAAATTGGAGTGAAGCTCTAAGAGGTGCCTCCTTACCAGTGTGCCCAGGGCAGGACCTGTCCAGTCAGCTGCTGAGCTATCTGTAGCTACTTGGTTCCTGAACTGAGTGAGGCCAGACTGATTTCGGGGGTAAGGTGCTATGTCCTGCTTTCCTCCGTCTTGCTAGGTGGCTTCCAGAGTTCATGTGGTGCTGGAGACGCTAGGAGGCTGCACATCAGCCTGCAGATCTGATCAAGTTAGTCTCCCATTCAGAATCCCTCAGTGGCACCGGTGATCTGGGGACTGCAGTCCAGGCTGCTTGGCCTTCATAGCAGCCTCCACAAGTTCCCCAGGCAAACATGCACAGGGCAGGCTTCTAGACCAGTTAGATGCTCCAGGAGAGTGTGCCTTACTCATCTTTGTATCTTCTGGCTTGTTGTGTATATGAGACACATCTGAAAAAAACCTGAATAATTAAAGTACCCACTGTGTGCCAGGAGCTGTATATACGATTTCATTTAATCCTCTCAACAGAAATGTGAGGTATTTTACTGAATGAGAAAATAATACTCAGAGATGCAGTGACTTGCCTGAGATCCACAAAGAGAAATAGTATTTGAATATTGTTCAGACTCCCAAAGCCCATGTTTTGTTGCTGGTGCTCAGCACTTCAAAATATAGTGGTCACCAGTACTACTCTGGATGAAATGTTAAATATAGATCCTCTCGAGGATAAGGAAACTGAGACCCACTGTTGAACATTAAGAAAGCTGTGAGCTGTCCAAGGTCACACAACTACCATGTTTACCCGAAAATAAGACAGGGTCTTATATTTATTTTTCCTCAAGAAGACACACTAGGGCTTATTTTCAGGAGATGTGTTATGCTTTTTAAGTACGGTACAACAATGCACATTCATTCAAATATAGTTAAGTCGTCTTCTTCTGCAACATCATTATAAATCCCCAAACCCCAAATTCCATCCTGAATTTCTTGCGACTCTATTTCCTTTAGAACCATTGGCCCCAATCTCTCATGTTGAGCAATAGAGCTCTCATGGGGCAGATGAGAAGGGCTGCTCGTCTTCTTTACTGCTCTGGGAGGAAATGCATGGATTGTGCAGATACACTGCATAGCCATGCCCATCACTAGGTCTTATTTTCGGGGTATGGCTTCTATTGCTCAAATGCTTAGAAAGAAATCCTGCTAGGGCTTATTCTATGGGTAGGTCTTATTTTTGGGGAAACATGATAGTAATAGGTGGAGCTACAATTCCGAACCAGATCCAATGGACTGTGCTCTTTCCAGTGCTCAAGTGCCTCTCATGAATAAATGGATGCTTGCTTGTTTATACAGGCACAGTTTTCATGGCCCCATTATGACGGGATGTGCTGTTTTCTTAAGTAAGGTAGACAGGTCATTTGTTTGAATTCACAGATGCTTCCATAGCTTCAGCTAACTTAAAAAATAATGTAAGAAGGTTAGTAATGTGTAAAGTGTTGAGTTGGCAGCATATACCAGAAAGTGTAGAAAATGCTTATTCTCTTCCAGCTAACTAGTTCACTTTTAGGAATTTACCCTTGGAAAATAATCAGAGATGCATAAAGATATTACATATGAGAATGCTCATCTCAACATTCTTATATATTATGTCTAATAATATTATATATAGGGGAAAATTGGAAGCAATATGAATGTCCACCATGGCAATTGGTTAATTATTTTTTTTTATTTTTTTTTATTTTTTCTTTTTTTACTACCAAAAGGAATGTAACAATTGGTTAATTATTAATAAATTATGGCATACCCTAATTAGCATGAGGAATTGCTAAAGATAGGCTGCTAACTACATTTTATAACTATGTTTATAGTTATAACTACAGGCATATACCCAGAGACAGTAAGTGGCGTTGATTGGGTCCCCTGACTCTCTGGGGACATTTCTCATGGACTGTGTTGCTTCTATTATTGAGTCAAGGTGTTTCCTTAAAAATTTTTTTGGACTTAATTCAATTTAGTGCTTTAGCACTTTTATTACCTTGACCAAATTGGGTCTTGCTTTTTTTTTTTTTTTTTTGAGACATAGTCTTACTGTTGCCAGGCTGGAGTACAGTGGTGTCATCTAGCTCACTGCAACCTCAAACTCCTGGGCTCAACTGATCTGCCCCGGCCTCAGCCTCCAAGTGTCTGGGATCGCATGTGCTACCACCAGTAATTTTTAATGTTTTCTGTAGAGCCGGATAAGTCATCTCTGTTGCGCAGGTGGGTCTTGCATCTTTGAATTGGGAGTGACAAGCTATATTTTTTTTTCTTTCTTACTGAGTTTATATCTTTGGAACTGTTTCAATGGGAAGTTTAGCTTGAAAATCCCTCCATCAGCGGTGTTTGATTTTGCCTTACTCTAAGAGGAACTAAATGTCACAATGCAAGACTCTGTCTCAAAGATTCCACAGTGCCTACTGCCTTGGTATCATGCTTTTGCAGAGCAATGGTCATCTGTTGTTTTCATGGAATCCAACATACAGTATTAGGAACCAACCTTTACTGGCAGACAATATAGCTATGATATATATACATAGACAGTGCCACTAACCTTAAGCTATGGGCCAGCTATGAATACATTGTAAAACAACGTAAAATCACAACCATATTACTCTCTCTGTAAAAAAAGCATTGTTGAAACCAAGAAATTCTAATTTTCTTTTAACTTTTGCTGCTTAAGTTTTTAGCAGACCAAGTATTAGATGTCAGAGGTTTTAAGAAAAACTCATGGAAAAAATAGACCTTTGATCTAGTAACAAATTCTTAGTCTCTAACATATGAATTGGAGTGAGCCTCTAAGAGGTGCCTCCTTACCACTGTGCCCAGGGCACGGACCTGTTCAGAATCAGCTCTGAGCTATCTGTAGCTATTGGTTCCTGAACTGAGTGACGGCCAGATGATTTTCGAGGGTAAGGTGCTATGTCTCTGCTTTCCTCCTCTTGCTAGGTGGCTTCCAGAGTTTCATGTGGTGTGGAGACGCTAGGGCTGCACATCAGCCTGCAGATCTGATCAATTAGTCTCCCATTCAGAATCCCTCAGTGGCACCCGTGATCTGGGGACTGCAGTCCAGGCTGCTTGGCCTTCATAGCAGCCTCCACAAGTCCCCCAGGCAAACATGCACAGGGCTGTCTTCTAGACAGTTAGATGCTCAGGAGTGTGCTTTACTCATCTTTGTATCTTCTGGCTGTGTGTGTATAATGAGACACATCTGAAAAAAACCTGATAATTAAAGTACCCACTGTGTGCAGGAGCTGTATATACGATTTCTTTAATCCTTCAACAGAAATGTGAGGTATTTTACTGAATGAGAAAATAATACTCAGAGATGCATGACTTGCCTGAGATCCACAAAGAGAAATAGTATTATGAATATTGTTCAGACTCCCAAAGCCGATGTTTTGTTGCTGGTGCTCAGCACTTCAAAATATAGTGTCACAGTACTACTCTTGATGAAATGTTAAATATAGCTAATCCTCTCGGGCTAAGAAATGAGACCCACCGTTGAACATTAAGAAAGCTGTGAGCTGTCAAGGTACAAACTACCATGTTTCCGAAAATAAGACAGGGTCTTATATTTTTTTTTTCTCAAGAGATCACCTAGGCTTATTTCAGTAGATGTGTTATGCTTTTTAAGTTGGTACACAATGTACATTCATTCAATATAGTTAAGTCGTCTTTCGTGCACACATCATTATGAATCCCAAACACCAAATTCCATCCTGAATTCTTGCGATCTAAAAAAAAAAAAAAAAAAAAAAAAAAAAAATTTCCTTTTAGAACCATTGGCCTCATCTCTCATGTTGAGCATAGAGCTCTCATGGGGCAGATGAGAAGGGCTGCTCGTCTTCTTTACTGGTCTCGGAGGAAATGCATGGGTTGTGCAGATACACTGCATAGCCATGCCCATCACTAGCTCTTATTTTGGGGTAGGGCTTCTATTGCGCAAATGCTTAGAAATCCTGCTAGGGCTTATTCTATGGGTAGGTCTTATTTTCGGGGAAACACGGTAGTAATAGGTGGAGCTAGAATTCCAAACCAGATCCAATGGACTGTGCTCTTTCCAGTGCCCAAGTGCCTCTCATGAATAAATGGATGCTTGCTTGTTTATACAGGCACAGTTTTCATGGCCCCATTATGACGGGATGTGTTGTTTTCTTAAGTAAGGTAGACAGGTCATTTGTTTGAATTCACAGACGCTTCCATAGCTTCAGCTAACTTAAAAAATAATGTAAGAAGGTTAGTAAAGTGTTGAGTTGGCAGCATATACCAGAAAGTGTAGAAAATGCTTATTCTCTTCCAGCTAACTAGTTCACTTTTAGGAATTTACCCTTGGAAAATAATCAGAGATGCATAAAGATATTACATATGAGAATGGTCATCTCAACATTCTTATATATTATGTCTAATAATATTATATATAGGGGAAAATTGGAAGCAATATGAATGTCCACCATAGCAATTGGTTAATTATTAATAAATTATGGCATACCCTAATTAGCATGAGGAATTGCTAAAGATAGGCTGCTAACTACATTTTATAACTATGTTTATAGTTATAACACTATAAATATTTTGTTTAAAGATTATGCATATATGTATGTGTGTGTGTATAGAAACACACTCTTGCTGCTGTGATTATGAGTGATTTCATTTTCTTTTTCAGACTTTTCTTTAAATATTTTCCAGATTTTCAACAATGAATATGTATTACTTTTATAACAGAAAAAAATATATAAATAAAAAAAGTAAGGTGAGAGCTTTTCAGTGAGTGCCTTAGATCAACTTTTAAGTAGTTAAAATTATTCTAGCTCTGAGTAGTAGAAGCAAACCAGCCTAAACTTGTCTATCAGCTTTAGATCATAATCCATTGAAATCCCTGAAGGGAACTATTACACAATTTCTTCACTTAGAGCAGCAACATTTTACCTTTGCACATTGTTAATTGATGTAGCTATGGAACATATTCTGGCCTGAGCTTTAAATTAACATCCATATGCTTGGATTTTAATAAAAGAAAATGCAGAGTTTCTTAATTGGAACTATCATGTTCTAATGCAGCATTATATACTCTTGATCAAGTTAATGAAGTATTTACTTTTGGAAAGGGGAAGTTTACTCACTGGCAAAAAAAGAGATTTAAAAAATATCTTAAACTCAGTTATTTGGTTTTGCATAAATGAGATTAACCAAAACATTTGAAGCCAGACTGTATTAAGTGCTATGAGTACCTACGTTTTGTTTCTGATTCAGAGGAAAATGTAGAACTCATAGGGTCTCTTCTCTCATGTATTGAAGTATCTTGGTAGAACAGTCTTTCACAAAGTGTACTTAGACTAAATGGTTTTGCCGGCCTCTTATCCTTAAAGTTGATAAGCCATATCATTATTTAATACTTAATAATATTAAAACAATGATACAGTCAGACCTGACTCTTAGAAAACAATTTTTAAAAATATATGTCTAAAAGTATGTTGGTTATTTATTAAACAAGGACTTTTTTGACATGTTCCTGTGTGTGCTTGCTTTAACAAAAAAATAATATGTACATTTCACAGTTACATGAATTTACATATGCTTGTGACAAATTTCTTATTTTATTAGACAGATAATAAAATTGTTAAATATGAATAAGCAAGAAGAAGAAACTTGAAATAATCAGTAATCCTACTCCCCTTAAACAATTACTTTTGACATATTTGCTGTGTGTGTAATCATGCTATATATACTGTTTTGAAACTTGGATTTTTCCTGCTGTATATTAATATCATGAGTCTCTCATATTGTCAATTGCACACATAATTTATAATTATTTTTATTTAAGATTGATATAATAATATTCCAGTTGGTTATCTACTTGGCAAACATTTTTGACCACATTATTTTAAACTCAAACTTCATTATTATTTTTAATAAACTGGACCCTCACTCAAATGCTTTCCTTAGAGTTTGTGTTGCAAATGAGACCAGCCTTGTAACTTTTAAAATAACTGAGTATTCCTGGGAAGGATACAAGCAAGTACTACTTACTGCAAATTCTACTCTCTAGTAATTAGAGTTCATAGAAGCTTCTGTTATATTTCACCTCACTACCTCGTCTAAACCTGATCACCTCCCAAAAGCCCCATCTCCAAATGCCATCACATTGGAGGTCCGGGCTTCAACATATGAATTTAGGGGCGACACCAACATGCAGTCCATATGGAGTATGAAATCTTCTCATGCTTGCCTCTTCATCGTCCAGTTCTCCCTCAGAGGCCACAAGTGAGAGAGCTATGTATCTGTGTCCTATGTAGGTATCTGTGTGAAATATATTGTTTTTTCCTTTTTAAAATATAAATTTATAATATATTCTGTATACTGTTCTGAACCTGCTTTTTTCACCTAATAATGTATCTGGAGAATATACCATATTTCATCAATTCTAAGTGTACTTTTTTCCTCCCACATTTTAACAATTTTGAAATCAGGAAATCACTGGTATCTCAGAGTTTATCAAATACAATATCAATACATAAAGATTCTCCATATTCTTTTTAATGACTGCCCAGTAATCCATTTGTGTGGGTATACATTTCCCTGTTGATGGACATTTGAATTGGTTCCTGTCTTTTGCTTTTATGAACAGCAATGAATAGCCCAGTACTATATCATCTTGCATGTGTGAATTTATCTTTGGGATAAATTCCTGGAAGTGCCAAGTACCCTTGGTTCAAAGGATGTGTGTATTTCTAATTTTGGTAGATAATTAACAAATAGCCCTCTACAGAATTTGTCCCTCCAGCAATGGATAAGAATGCCTGTTTTCCCAGCCTCACCAGCACAATGTTATCAAACTTTTGGACCTCTGCCAATCTTGTGGATGAAAAGGGGTATCTTAATGTTTTCTTAATTGGTTTTCTCTTACTATCAGGGAGGTTGGCATCTATTAATGTGTTTGAATTAATTGTAGTTCCTTTTCTGTGAACTTTCTGTGCATAGTCTTTGTCCATTTCTCTAGTGGATTATAGACTATTTTCTCATTGATTCATGAGAGTGTTTTCTATATTAAGGAAATAAGCCCTTCATTGCTGATGCAAGTTGCATTTATTTTTCCCAGTCTGCCATCTGTCTTTTGCCTTTGCCCTTGGTGGGTTTTGCCATGAAAAATTTGTATATGATCTGTGTAGTTGAATTTATCAGTGTTTTCCACTAATGCTAATGGGTGTAATACCTTCTTAGAAAGGCCTTCTCCATTCCGAGATCATTTAAAAAATTCTAGTGCTTTTATAATTTTTTCCTTTTTCTTTTTTTTTTTTTACTCAAATATTTGATCCATCTAAATTCATTTTGGTACAATGTATCAGGTACAAATCAAACTTTATGGGTTTTTTTCCTACCTGGCAACCCAGTTGTCCCATTAACACTGATTGAGTCTCTATCCATATTTATTTTTGTATGTGTTTGTGTCTATTTCTGGATTTTCTTCTTATAAAAAAAGTGATATGAGTATTATTCATGAATTCATGCTCTAGTGAGATAGTGATTGTTAACAGGTAAGTGTGCATTCCTTTTAGACCTTTTTCTACTATTAATGTGTGTGTATGCACACATATATACACACACAACATATATGATATTCTCTAAATTGTTCTTTTCCCCCACTAACTTGATGTTTTAGACTTCTGTGATAGTCTATACAGTTCTACTTCATCATTATTTCTAACCTCTGCATGGATTGCATAGTATGGATTTATCATACTTTATTTTACCACTATTGTTACGCATCTCGGTTGTTTGCACTTTTTTCCTAATTCTATCAAGACTATATATATAGCTTATAAAGTAGGTAGCATTGCTTCTCTTTGATTTGTGATAAGCCTGTTCTAAAAGTAAAATGTTTACTTTTAGATGAGTGGCTTAGTATTGTAAAATTCATGAGGATAAAAATCTGGAACACTTTGAGTGACATGTTATTAATATTTTGTGATGATCTTGTCTTTTTAGATAAAATTTGATGCTGGGACACTCCTTCTTAGTACACATCGACTGATTTGGAGAGATCATAAAAATCATGTAAGATACAGTGTTTTGCATTTGTTGTAGGTTTGTTTGTTTATACAGACAGGGTCTCATCTCACTGTGTTGCCCTGGCTGGAGTGCAGTGGCTATTCATAGATACAATCATAGCACAATATATCCTTGAACTCCTGGGCTCAAGTGATCCTCCTGCCTGAGCCTCCTGAGTAGCTGGGACTATAGGTGTGGGCCACTGTGCCTCTGATGTAGGTTTTAAATCACTGAAGTTTTTCTTTCTTTTTTTTTTTCTGACAAAATGGATGTAAATGGATATAATAAATTTTCCTTTTCAGAATATCAGAAAGTGTGTCCCATATGATTTCTCTGAATGGAGTACAGAGATAGGAGTTAGTGTGTTGTCCCTTATTCAGCTCCAGAAAAGTCTGTGTAGTTACTGGATGGGGAATCATGGAGCCTCGTTTTGCAAATACCAGTCAAATCCTACTCCATACCTGAATGTCACATGTGTAACGGGAATAATTCTCTCATCAGTTGTGAGAGGTCTTTAAAAAGGGCTCCCCTATCCTTAAAACTACTTGTTCTTCCATGTTGTTGAGAATCAGGAGGATAGGTCTGCCATGAAATGCATACTTTTAGATATTGAGATATTGCTAGGTATTACTACTTCTAAGTCAGCAAGAGGAGAAGCTCCCCTCCCCCATTTCTTTAGGAAGAGAAAGTTTTATATAGAGAGAGCTGGTATCTTTATTCTGAAGAGCTTCAACTTGAAAGTATATATACATTAATCTCAGTGTTACAGGTTAGATTGCTATTTCATCTGTGTTTTTATTTTCCTAATTGCTCCCCCTTCATGAAATTTTAATACCACATATAAACTATTAATATATACTGTACTGTGGCCCTCGAAAGTATGTTAACCATTGCAATATCTGACCTTTTTGCTCCCCAGGAACTAATTTTTGTCCCCTAAGTCTGATATTGCCACTGTTGATAATGCATTCCTGTTAATGTTGTGTAATTCTTTTAAAAGTAATGTGCATTCAGGAAAGAAATCTTTTGGGGAAGGATGGGGTGGGTGTGTTGGTTATTAAACTTAAACTATTATTGATTAATCTTAGTATAATTTTTTGATTATCATATAAAGAGACAAATCTGGAGAAATCCTTAGACCTATTACATGCTGTTCATGTATAATAGTTTTTAAAATTAAATGTACTAATAAAGGGGAACTACTTCAATATTTTCTGTTTAAAACTAATTTTATTTGTGTTCATTGATAAAGAATAGAAAATTATAAGGAAGTTGAAAAATCACTTACATAATATACTCCTTAAAATTGTTTTGATGAAGGTTTAATTTTTGCTTTCCATATAAGAAAATATTACATGTAAAAAGTTTTCATACAAATATTTCTCTTAGAAAATGCACCTATTATAAAAACAAAGGTAATTACTGCTGCTTTTAAACCTCTTACGTTCTTCTATGCAGCAAAATACCACCACCATATTGTTTATATTTAATCTTTCCTTAAGTTCATTAAAGGAATAAAATAATATCATTTTTCATTATTTTCATTATTAAGGTATATGGCACTCTAAAGCTATTAAATAAGGATTTCCGACAAATGTTATGGATCTTGTTTTCTATTCATTTCCTCCTAGGAGTGCTGCATGGCCATTCCTCTTTCCCAAATTGTGTTCATTGAAGAACAGGCAGCTGGAATTGGAAAGAGGTGAGGTCTATATAGTATAGTCTTTATTCACAAAGATATTTCCTGTCCTGTTATTTTGCTCAGGAGGTCCCTAAGGCGTGGTCCTACCTCAAACTTACTGGTGTATAAAGTCATTCTTAAAAGCAGGAATAAAGTACAAAGGTTTGCTATAATAAATCCTTGTATTATTGTACATGGGACATAATAAAGAATTGTGGTCCAGCTATCATTGTATATATTTCCACAGACACTTTGCTTTCACATGCCTGTATACCTGTCATTTCATACTATAAAATGTGGCCCTCCTTAAAATCAGAAATAACCCATCTGAGAAAAATAACTGGCTTTACTCCTGTTTCTAGCTAGTCATTAAGTTTGTTTCTCAAGTTCAACTTGTTCAGATATCAGGATTATATAGTATATCATAATAGTTATTGTGCATAATGGGAGATTTGTAAGAATAATAAGGTATACAATGAATAATTAGAATAGGATAATGAGCATAAGTGGGACTGTCTTAGGCAAACCAGGAGATGTGGCCATTCTGGTATAAAGGCATAAGTTCAGATGTTCCTGTTTACTCAAATGTACCAAAAACTTGGCATTATATTTTAAGTACATATAATTGAGGAGACTTATGAACAAATATTTTTAGCATGGAATTTTTTGTTCTTATGTAGGCTCATCTTTAGGTTTAGCAGTGTTGAACTTCACTGGACATGCAATGTATGCCTTAATCATAATGTTATAGCTACCATAAAATATTGATTATTTGACATAAGAGAAACTAATACATTTTAGATAGATTAATAAGCCATAGATTTTTAAGAGTGGATTGTTCCTGTAATGTGTATTTTCCCCCTTGTCATTTTCTCCCACTTATCAAGTTCTAGAAAGTAAACTTTAAGGTTATTCCAGATCATTTGAATTCTTCTTTGTTGTGTTCCAAGGAAATCTAAACTCTATAACAAAAAGATTTAAAATATTTGCCTTCACATTAGTGGTCTTATTTTTTTAAACATTTCCAGTGAGGAGGAATTCAGTAATATGCCAAGTTAACTTTTCTCAAATATTCTCTTTAGTTCCTGGCCCCTCAAAGAGTTATCCTATTGCATTGATTTAAAAAGGTATATTTTTTTACCTTTTAATGTCTCTGAACTCAACATCTTTCATTTCATAGACTTTAAATTTGATGAAATATAGTGATTGAATGACTCAATAAAAGAATGTATGAAAAATGTGGCATGAATTATTTTTATGCTTACTTTTGAATTTTTAAACTTTATTTTTATCAGTTTTTTAGCTTTTCATTGGGTGTCCTTTGACAGAATCTGATAATAGGGTTGAGGTTTTTTAATTTCAAAGATTGTGACATGCTTATGCTCAGCCACCCTATCATAATTGTCATAGTTTTGTTACTCTACTTGAAGGTTTATTTCAGACAGTCCTATAACTCTGCTTGTGTTATAGGACCGTCTGAAATAAACCTTTACTTCACTTAAAGATGTTCACATAAGGGAATGGATGAAGAGTGCTCACAAAGCTGGCCCCAGTTCGTTAACTAGAGAATTCGTTACGTAGAGGAGGCCCAACACCAGATTTTTCAGTGTTATAGTGGTATTTAGGCAACCATATGGGCATAAAAAAAAGAAAAATTGAGTAACAGGTGTGTGCCTATAATGTGATCATAGAGAAAAAGCTCTCTAAGATGGGTGTCCAGGATATTTTGACTATGAGTTTTTAGTTTCCCTAATCTTTATAGAAGAGTGCTTATTGAGCAGGTTGGATAAAAAGAGGAAAACAGACTTACAAAGCTGAACAAATATAGTGATATTTTTAATAGCTTAGAAGATAATCATAGTTATAAAGATAATGGTAGTTTATGTTCCTAGAGCAGCAGTGTTTGAGAATTGTTTTTGTTATTGGGTATCTTTCTACATCATACTGTTGATTGAGTGGCATTTTCCAACAAATGACACTGTAGAATGTTAGTTTTGGATGGAGTTTTAATAAAATATCAGCTGGCCAGTTTTACAGATAAGTTTTCACATTTGTTTTCAACTTGAGTAAGGTAGTATGCTTTGGCAGTAATATATGCCCCCTTATAACCTTTGGGGATGATTATAGATGGAAAACCCTCATCATAAACTACTCAGAATTTTGCACATTTATTTTGAACATATTTTTTACACCACATTTTAATTTAATCTATAGAGTTAGTAACTTGAAACTTTTTGGTTCATAGTTTAAGAGAGATTTTTGAAAGCTTCATTAATAGTGAATTAATACAAACTTTAAAAAAGGATGCTTTTCATGGTGTTGTTTCTGCATGAATTTTTTAAGAGTGATTTGAGATATATTAAAAGTTATGAAAATAGAATTAGTGATTTTTAAAGGCAATTAAATGCATTATATTTGTTCTTTCTTCAGTGCCAAAATAGTGGTTCATCTTCACACAGCCCCTCCCAACAAAGAACCTGGCCCATTCCAGAGCAGTAGGAACTCCTACATCAAACTTTCCTTCAAAGAACATGGCCAGATTGAGGTAAGTTTCTATATGAATAAAATTGTTCTAGAAAGGGGTCTGTGTGTGTTTTTCTTATGATTTCTTAATATAATGGAAGGCATTATTATATAATATACCAGGTTTCACCATATTTTTACAATAAAATTTTTATTCTATCTTAAGACTTTTCAGAGAATAGAGAATTTAAAGTTTAGGTTTCAGTGGGATTGGAAAGCAGGATGTGATCACAGAGAGGGAGCAGAGGCTGGAAAAATGCTAAATCATGCTATTAAATATTTGGCTACTAGTAACATTTTCAGTGGTATAGTTAGATTAAAGGGACAGCGTAAATGCAGTGACATGTTAAACTACCTCAGTATCTGAAAGCTTGGTGAACTTAAATCAAGCAGTTTATCTTAACTCCATATAATTCTAGTCACTAAAGTTTTAGTCTGCAGTGTAATATATTAATAGTATTTTATATGTTCTGATTAATAAGTTGCTATACATCTATTCTTAATATACTTAGAAGTGTGTTTTTATTCTCCCCATCAATGCAATAAATTATATATGTTTTGTTTTCTATAGTACCTCACCTAGTGTTCCTCACACAGTGGTCACTAAACAAATATGAATGACTGACTGAGTCATTCTCACTGTAGTTGAAAAACATATTTGATTTTTTGTGGGCATGGGCATGTTTTGGCCCTACGTTTTGGCTTCAGATTTTAACTAGACAAATTATTCTCTCCTTCCTTCATGAAAAATAGTGGTATGTTTTTCCTGGTACTATGTTTGTTTCACTGCAGATTGAAAACAATCCACATATACAGGATTGTTTAAAGTAAGTCTGTTTATTTCATTGTCACTCATCTCTTTGTTGAGAATAGTCCACTTTCTATAGAATATAGAAGGTCAATTCCTTCTTTTTTTTTCCTTTGTGCTTTCTGAAGTTGATCCAAGAAAAGAACTTCCTCTGATTTCCTTTGATGTCTCTGAGAATTCTTGGCTTGTTGCAAATGACTGAATAGACCTTTAAACTAAAGAAATGTTAAGTAATGATTTGTGTGAGGATGCCACAACCTGAGTGACTCATTTAAAGTGAATATATTTGCATGACAGTTTTACAGGCGTTTATCAGAGGAAATGACACAGAGAAGATGGGAGAATGTGCCAGTTTCCCAGTCATTACAAACAAATAGAGGACCCCAGGTATTTTTTAAACTGTTTGCTAATCTGTATTTTCAACTCTGTACTTACATCTTATAAGAAAAAGAATCAATAAGAAAAAGATTGTGATTATAGAACTTGTCAAAAACAAAATAATGTAATGGTACTCTGATAAAAAATTTATTTTCACAGCACCTGATTTAGTGCTCTAAAGACAGTAGACACTTAGTAAACATAAATGACTACTCACCAGAGTAATTTCGAAGGTGGTAGAAGTTAGATTTCACTCATTGCATTCTGTTCTTCATAATTAGTGTGGTATTTGAGAAAACAGACAGTAAAGCCAGGTGATATTTTCCAAGGTAGTCTAAATTAATCATCAAGTATAGACAGGCACTCAAATGTGTGAAAGTAACTTGGATAATAACTGTTAAGTAGCAGAATTTTTAACTATAATTTTCTGTAAATTTGAAGCCCTATTATGTGATACATAATACCTTGCCAAAGAACAAAAAAGAATAGGAAATTTTTTTTTTATTTTGGCATATTATGGGGGTACAGATTTTAAGATTTCAATAAATGCCCATTCCTCCCCTCCCCCTAGGAAATTTAATTTACATCTAAAATGCAAAGTATATATGCCATTTATTATATACTTGGTTTTTCTTTAATGATTTGAAGATCATTACATGTAACAAAAACCAAACAAATGTTTTCAAAGGAAGCTAGATGTAATTATGGGCTGTTTTTCTTTGGTTCTTTGTGAGTCCTTTCCCGCCATTGAAAACACAATGGGGTGGATTACAAAAGATTTTGTTTCCTTCCTATTTTGTATGTTTTATTTTCTACTTTTTTTCCAGCCAGGAAGAATAAGGGCTGTCGGAATTGTAGGTATTGAGAGAAAACTGGAAGAAAAAAGAAAAGAAACTGACAAAAACATTTCTGAGGTAACTCTTAAACAAGTTCTGGTTTGCCATCTTTTTCAGCCATTTGCATCTATTCATTTGGGTACATCTGTGACTAATTTTGTTCTATAATTTGGAGTATATTTATTAATAGTTTAACTGAAGCTACATAGCCTCTTATTCCCTTTAACAAGTCTACCTTGGGTTGGCGGTGTTTAACTGAAACAAGTTTTAAAAGCTTTTTCTAAAACCAAATAAAAAACACAAATTTGTTTTTTGTTAGAAAACATCAGAATGTTGTGTGTAACATTAAAGTCTAGATGGAATTGATTGGAGGATATTCTTAATGAGCTCAAAGTCCTCTATATCATTATTTTGGAAGTTTGACTACGCTAGTTGAGAGAAAAATGGTGTTCTGTGGCCTCTGTCCCTGGCCAGACACCACACAATTTTATGCTGATGACCATTTGGGCACCAGACACAGTAAGAATGGCTGAAACCAGTCAGCCCACCACTTCTACTAGGAGACAACCCTAAGCATGTATATTACAGAGTTTCTGAAGGCTTATCATATGTGAGGAACTTCAAGTAATAGGGAAAGAACTCTGGTTAAAAAAACTAGTTATGCATTAAATTCTATAAGTAGTTAATACATCTAACCATATCATTGATTTTTTTCATGTTTATATAAAAATGGTCTTGAATTTTTATGAAATGATGCTATAAAGTAATTCTTTAGCTTTTTTATAATAGCTTGTTGGGTAAATTCCACAGTCACTATCTCCTGAGAATCTTTCTGTTTTTATGTTGTGATTTTGAGAAATTCAAAAACTATGCTGCCATAGTCACCATCTCCTCAGAGTCCTCTATTCCTGTAAAATTCCATCATTTTAGCATTAGAAGGGTTCTTATCCAAAGAAGGTATTTGTCTTAGAGCAAGTGACTAGATTTGGAACCAGGCAGATGAGAACCCAGGTTTCCTGGTTTGCAGGTAGTTTGCAGGTACTGACAGTATGCAGCATCACCACCAAGAAGGTGCTGTTTCTGTCCTTTCTCAGCAGTTCCTATTGTCATTGGTTTTGCCTCTTTCAGAGATGGCATGGAGCAGTGAACTAATTTTGCATTATTTGTATTCCTTTTTTCGATTGTGCCATCATAACTTAGTGTTATATTCAAAATAATGTTTTTCTTAATTTGTGAAACAAGTTATTCTCTTTCTGCCTAATTTTCATGGAGTCCCATAACTCAGAGGATTCTACCCAAGCATTGTGCTCTGTCACGCAGATCATTGATTTATTCAGCAGGAGGTCATTCTCTCTACTCTGTGTGGGCCCTACATCAGAGGCTGTGGTGATGCACCAGACACAGGCAGGCAAAGAGGCCTTGTCTACCGTGGGAGAATTTCCTGGTGAGGAGAAAGTACAGGCTGCATCAGGGACATACAACATGGCCTCCAACTTCTGTTGGCATCCGGGAAGGCTTGTTAGTAGCAGGAACGTGGAAATCAAAGCCTGAAAGATGAGCAGGTGCTAGCAGATAACCAGCAGGGATAAGAGAAATCCAGGTAGAGGGAATGGAATATGCAAAGGCACAGAACCAGGAGTCACTGAAACAGAAAATTCAAGAATATATTAATAGTCACTGAAACTAATAACCACAAAATAATGACTGAAAGTCACTAAGAAATAATGCTATAACTCACTTTAAGAAGGTACCTTAGGGTTTTAAAACAGATGCCATTTTTCTCAAAATTGTAGTGACAATTTGATTGTGGGTGTGGTGAAGGGATAAAAGGTTCTGTAAACTGACAGATAAAATAATAGAATGAGTATATGCATCTATTTTGCTTTAATTTTTATTGTAGGTAGTTTTTCTACCCAGTTTTTGATAGTTGGCTAATTCCAAATTTTAGAATAATAGAAATAAAAGTAAGAAAGCTTTTATTTGTGTTTTATAATTACTTAACATATTTTATAGACAATTCTTTCAAGGCACTAAAATATTTACTATATTTTTATTGACTATGTAAGCAATAAGGGCTAATTTATGTATTCTATGTGGACTTCATTTTAGCATTTTTTCTGCAAAAATATAATACAATGAATAAAATTATTTACCATGTAAAATTTTAATGGTGTTGTCTTATTAGTCTTCTTTACACAGATAAAAGAAATCTATTAATATTTTATATATCCAGAGTAAAAATCTAAGTGTGTAAAATGTTCGTGTGTTTTATTTTTGAAACCTAGATGGGTGTATGATTTGCCCTCCATGTAAATGTTAGAATTGACTTAGTTTCAGAGCTGGTGCCCAGAGTTTGTCACAAAGGGTTTCCTGCATCTGCTGGCTCTTGCTGATAAGAAGCCTGTGTTTAAGCCTTTTGTTTATCTGAGGAAATTCCTGTTAGGTGTGTGCACATTCCCCTTTGTTTTCAGTATTAGCCTCAGTGAGTGGGCCATAAGAATTCACAACAAGCTATTCTTCTGGCAAAACCCTTTTGCAGGTGGGGAATACTTTCCTGCAGATGGGCATAAGCAGATCAGAGCCACCATTATATATATCAAAATACTGTGTAGACCAATTTTTCAGTTCATGACAAATTGCTTATTTGGCTTTTAAAAATAATATCTGTGCACATTAATTAGACAAGATACTCTGCACTGGCAGTATATTTTCGGTAACTTGAAATAATTTATTAGAAATACGTCTGATTAAGTTTGCAAGGGCCTTTGAAGTGGATACTTGCTGTAGTAAATGAAACAAAACAATTGATGGATTTTATTTAGATTCGTTTTGGTGGTATTTGAAAGTTTTTCTTTTGTGATAGCCACTACATCTGAAGCTACAGGTATAATAATGTGTTTAATATTCAGAGCCTGAGGTTTACTGTTTCAGTTAATTCACATCTGCTTTATATTAAAGCCAAAATTATTGTACCTAAAGAAGTGCACAATAATTCCTGCAGCTGTGCATTGCCATTTTCAACCAGGAAAGCTTTGCAGTGCCTTTGATTTTTGATTTCCTATCAGAAAATGATTTTAGGAAAAATCAATGATAGATTTTCTTACTTGTGTGAAATAACAGTAAATAAAATTTTCTGAACTATTAATTATGTCACCTTTTGTTTGTTTAATCAATGATAATTTTTAAAAACTTGAAGTTTTTTTTTTTGCAGCTTGTTTTGGAGAATTTATGGCTTCTTAGCTAAACTGAAATTTTAGAATAAGTTAGATTGATTACTTATATAAATATTTTATTAATAAATAAATTGGTATTTTAAAGAAAATTTCATAAATTTTTATCATAGGAAAAAATAGAAGGTGCTTCATTGCTTTAAAGCATTTTAAATTCTTTAGACACATTCCAACAAAAATTCATTTCTTGTTCCAGGCATTTGAAGACCTCAGCAAGCTAATGATCAAGGTATATGTCATTTACATCTATTAAATTCATACCAATTATGATATTGTTTTGAAAATATATTTTGTGAATAGACACTTTGGGGACTGTTTCTTTTCAGTTTTTACTTTTTATTTGACAGGCTAAGGAAATGGTGGAGTTATCAAAATCAATTGCTAATAAAATTAAGGACAAACAAGGTGACATCACAGAAGATGAGGTAAATAGGTTGCTTTTCTTAAGGCATTAGAAACTAGATTACACATATAATGCAGTGAGATTTTAGTGGTTTACCAGTTTGCTTTCTTAATGTAGTGTTTTATTTCTTTTAGGACTTGAGGGGGCATGTCAATGTGCTAAAGGAAAAAGTCAACCATAAAAATTTTGTTGGGATTAAAGGTTATTTCCATGCCTTTTTTTGGAGTGTAGAAAACAGATACCAACATGTGTAAGAAATGGCTGTTTTATACATATCCTTAAGTTTGATGTCTGTTTCATTAAATTTGTCTGCAGTCTGGTAACAGCCATTTTCCTTCCTAAGTTTTCAGTTGTATCATTTGGTTAGCATTAAATACAGCATAGTTATTATCTAAGTCTCCTCTCACACCAGACTTGTGAATGAATGGAGTATGAGAGACCTGGATAGAAGAAGGAAGGAGAGCAATTAGATTTATGCAGGGAACTACTAGAAATCTGCTCCCTTCTAGATCCCAGCATAGAAACACAGTAGAAGAAAAGGGTATATATAGTGTATATATAGAAATAATTGAGTGGAATTGAATTTATGATGGAAGGGTTTCAGTTATTGGGGTGGGAGACTAATTCTGCATAAGTTTTTTGTGCATTTTCTCCTCTCTTGTTATAGACCATCAGGTTTAAATCCTACTTGCTGAGCATGGGAATAGCTAACCCAGTTACCAGGGAAACCTACGGCTCAGGCACACAGTACCACATGCAGCTGGCCAAACAGCTGGCTGGAATATTGCAGGTGCCTTTAGAGGTAAATACCAAATCTAAGTGTTCTTTTAAAATTATGTTAAATTATGCTGTCATCAGAAATGTTAACAAGAACATAACTCCTTTCATGATGTAGTTATTGTCAACTGACCTGTTATTTTTTACTTTCAGTGTACTTACTTAGGATTCTTTGTCATCTTCTAAATTGTTTCTCTTTTCATCTTAAGACATGTAACTTTCTAAATCTATTTGATATGAAGCTTTTCTTATTTTCAAAAGGAAATATATTTCTCTGTATAGATATATTTCCATGTATCCAGTCTTTCCTATATAATACTGTTAATAATTCCATAATACAGATTCATCTTCTAGTCTCATAGTATTCAGGCAATCAGTAGTTTATGCCAAAATAGAATAGCATAATAAATCCCCAAGTGCCCAAAAGTTTCATCTGTAAACCAGCTTCCACTCAAAATTTTTTTAAAGCAAACCCCAGACATCACATCACTTTATCTGTAAATATTTCAGTATATAACTATAATGATAAAGACTCCTTTAAACATAACTATAATCCCATTCCACATCTAAAAAATTAAAAGTAATTCCTTAACATCTTTAAATATCTAGTAGTGTTCACATTTTCTCTTACAGTCGGCCTGCTTAAATCAGGACACATTGCAGTTAGTCAACTTTTCTCTCAAGTTTTTTTTTTTTTTTAATTCCACTGGTTTCTACTTCCCCTGTCTCTCTTACCTCCTACCCCACAATGTATTTATTGGAGAAACAAATTGTTTATCCTATAAAGTGTGCTTCCCTGTTCTATGTATTTTGAATAAACTAGTAGTTATAAATAAAGGTCCATTAGTTTTTTTTGCTGGCAAGAATATTTCACAGAGGGCATTGTGCGTGTCCATCAGGAGGTGCATAAAGTCTGATTGTCTTTTTGTGTATGTGTGTGCTGTTAGCAGCCATTGACAGTCATCACCTAGAACTGTTACTTCATTAGGGATAGCAAAATAGTGATATTTAATCCTATGCTTTCTTCATTTATTAGCTGGAATAAGTTAAAACATTTAAATGTACTTTTTGAAACATGGTATAGAGACCCTCTTTTGATTTAAGTAAATGTTAAAATACTAATAATGACATTAAGGTCCCAATATTGAATTTGAAGTGCTATGTGGTATATGAATAGGTTCTCCTGTGTATAAATACAGTTTTTCAAAGCTTCTTAAGAAATTTTCTGATTTCCCTTTGATTACAATTTATGTTAAGAAATGCTAACTGGTGCTAATTATAACATAATACTTTTAAAATTTTTCATATTTTTAACAGGAACGAGGGGGAATAATGTCACTGACGGAGGTGTACTGTTTAGTAAACCGAGCTCGAGGAATGGAAGTAAGAATAGAATATTTAGATATTCTTTTAACTAAATATAGACTTTCTTGATATAATACAAATTCCCCTACAATGAATACAATTTGAGGAAGGGTTGTGAATATCAAAGCTATTTTGAGAAGCAGTGTGGTGCAATGAAAAGAATATTGCTCTATGATCTAGGAGGGTAGATTCTATTCCTGACTTGCTGTGTGACCTTGAGTAGCTTACTTATACTCTCTGGGACTCAGATTTTTTTCTTTTTAAAAATTTATTTTTATTTGTAATTCTACAGAGTAATTGTGTATTTTTGTGGGGTACCATGTGATATTTCAATATGCACATACATTATACAATGATTAAATCAGGGTAATTAGCTTATCTGGCACTTTAAAGACTTACCATTTCTTTGTGGTGACAACATTCAAAATCCTCTCTTCTGGCTCTCTTGAAATATGCACTGCATTGTTATTGTCTATGGTCTCCCTACTGTGTAATAGAACACTAGAACTTATTCTTCCCACCTAACTCTAACTTTATACCCATTGACCAAGCTCTCTTCATCCCCTCCCTTCCTCCTATTCTCACCATCCTCTAGTAACCAGTGTTCTACTCTCTTCTTTTATGAGATCAACTTTTTAAGATTCCACAGATGAGTGAGAGCATGTGATGTTTGTCTTTTTCTGTCTGGCTTATTTTACTTAGCATAATATCCTCCAGGTTTGTCCATGTTGCTGCAAATGACAGGATTTCGTTCTGTGTTATGGCTGAATGATATTCTATTGTGTGTATATGCCATACTTTCTTTTTCCCTTCATCTGTAGATGGGTTCTTGGGTTGATTCCATACTTGGCTATTACGAATAGTGCTGTTTAGGGACTCAGTTTTCTTACCTTTAAAATAAGGATTTGGACTGAGTGGTACCTTTCAGCTCTAATTGTCTCTGTCTTGTGATGAGTAAGGTTGTTCAGGAAGCCCTTTCTCTGTGTTAGCTAACTCTTCAGTTAACTTGGTTAACTGATTACCTGGTAGGTAATGCAGAGAGGACGCTGCCCTGCCCCTTTGGCTGTGTATCAGCAGTGGCTATTCTTCATCTCTCGTTGGTCCCTTCACATCCAGATATCCTTGGCCTGCAAGGTTCTGTCCAGGTACTCTTTTGTGCCCCAGCAATCAAACAAAGTCTTGTGGTGTTAGCAGTCACCTCCATGCAAATGACTCATCCCAGTCCCACGAGTTAAGCCTCTGCTCTATGTTTTTATTTGAATAGTGATTATAACTGCCATCAATTAGTACTTACTATGTGCTGGGCACTCTGCACATGTTACCTTATTTATCTTCCCAATAACTGAGTGATACGGCTACTTTTACTGTTCTTACATAGGGGATAATGAAATTGAGGCTTAGAAAGATGAAATAATGTGACAAGGACCATACCCAGAGATGGTGGTTTGACAGGGATGTGGACCCAGCCTGGGTTGGCTCTGGAGCCATTCTGTTTGACTCACAGCTGTACTTATTGCCACTATACTGTGCTGATTTGTTAAGGTTGCACTGTCCAAAAGGGTAGCCACTAGCTATTAATACCTCCCTACATGTGATGACTGTGAACTTGAAATGTAGTTAATCCAAATCAAGATGTGCTATGAGTGTAAGTACACACCAGTTTTAGAAGACTTAGTACAAAATAAGAAAATGTTAAATATCTCATTAATAATTTTTTATATAGATTATATGTTGAATTGGTACTAAGTTCAATCTTTTGGGTAAATAAAATATACGTGTTAAAAATTTTACCTGTTTCTTTTTGCTTTTTAAATGTGGCTACTATAAAATTTAAAATTACGTATGTGGCTTGCGTTATATGTTTGGGGGGATAGCACTACTTTAATGAAAACTTAGTTAATCTGCTTTGCCTTGCAATGATTAAGTCACCTGAAATCCTTGATAAGTGGTAATTTTTTGATTTACTCTCCAGTTTTACATTATAATTATATAGCATTACTTTATTAATTTGCAGTGTAAACTGGATTTTTTTCCCCATTAGTTGCTCTCACCAGAAGACTTAGTGAATGCATGCAAGATGCTGGAAGCACTGAAATTACCTCTCAGGTAAAGGAATCTCTGCAGGAAGTTTGCCACCTGTAACCATGGTTCTACACAGAGTAGATGGGAAAGCCCAGCCAAGGTTACCATCCCGAGTGCTGAGCCAAAGTGTTGCCCTCTTGAAATTATATTATCTGTGAGCAAGATTCACCTGGCACTGCTCACATCTTCTGTTATCCTGGCTTTCATCTTTATCAGGGCTGGGCATGTTCTAACAGGGGTAGAAGGCAGACTCTTGTCCATTTAGGGGAAGGAAAAAGAATGTGGCTCCTCCCATTAGGTCAGAATAACTAGCCCCTCTTCCCTTGGACATTTTGTGTTAGTGTCTGGAGATATTCAGCTGTGAATTTTATTTTCTTTATCATCAGGTTACAAAAAAGGTAGCCAGACATTTTATTTAGCATGTAGATTCTAGTTCATAATTTTATTATCTGTTTATTCATAAACTTTTTAGTTATGCCATAGTCGCTTGTGTTGGATAGGTTTTAAATGTCGTTTTGTGTTAATCTTGCCTTCATTCCTGGGCATCCAAAGAAAGTAACAAAGATGTGCTCCTCCTTAGTGGCTGAATATCCGAGATGATTCCTGCTTTATTCTTGCATCTCTGGTTTTCAGGCTCCGAGTTTTTGACAGCGGCGTCATGGTGATTGAGCTTCAGTCCCACAAGGAAGAGGAAATGGTGGCCTCAGCCCTGGAGACAGTATGTGAAGCTGGTTTCCTCCAGTCTTTAGAGCTGCCACCAAGACCCAAATGCTTAGCAACTTGAGAAACAGGATTTCCTTTTGAATTTTCCTTTAATAAAAACTAACGTTTGCAGACCCAATTAAAAATGGCTTATCGTTAACAATGAAACAGTATTAACCAAAACCATACATCAAGAGCTCTTTGAAACTTTTTGACACTCTTACCATCTTATAAGTAAGGAGAATTAGAATTAGTGAGATTCTTTTCTACTGACGCTTAGTGTTGAGGGCAGCTTTCTAACTTTGTTAATCAGAACATTAAACATAGTTGAACTTTTTCTTTCAGTAACACCTACTTAAACAGCATTATAAAACACCACAAGTTATTTTGTGAAATAATTTATTCAAAAAATGTGAAAAACAACTATAGTTTAGATGGATTTTACTGGCCAAACTGCCAGTATTTCTCATTAGAATACTTGAAATAGTACTGTCTTCATAGCCTCTATGGGGAACTATGTGCATATAATTTGAATAACACATTTATTATACTTCTCATTTTTAACTAGACAAAAACCCCAAGACTGGATATTTTACCACATATTTTAAACTAAGCTTATATATAGGTTCCCTTACTGGAGTGTGTAATACACACTCAGAATTTGTTATATGTTCCTTTTCAGACTATCATATAGTTCATAAGTTCATAGGCTTTAGTACAGTGCCTTTGTTGCATTGTAGAGAGCTTCATCTTGATATATAAGCCTCTAGTATATCTGTTCTGGGGTCTTCAACTTCTGTAGGATTAAGCATTAAGATTTACTTCTTTTTTTTTCCATTTTTTTTTATTATTTCAGCATATTATGGGGAATATTCTTTGGATTTTAGTAGAAAAGTCAGTAAATTATTTCCTGCATATAGTGGTATACATTCTGCCTAAGGTTAGTACCTAGGTGTCTTAAATTAATCAAATTTTTTTCTGCTGTATTTCTCTGTTAGGTTTCAGAAAAGGGATCCCTAACATCAGAAGAGTTTGCTAAACTTGTGGGGATGTCTGTCCTCCTGGCCAAAGAAAGGTAAGTACGGTCCTTGTACTTCATTTCAACATTATGTGTGTTTGTGTTTCTGCATGGACAGATAACTGTGTTTTTTTCCTTTTTTTTTTTTTTTTTTTTTTTAGGTTGCTGCTTGCAGAGAAGATGGGCCATCTTTGCCGAGATGACTCAGTGGAAGGCTTGCGTTTTTACCCAAATTTATTTATGACACAGAGCTAAGGGTTTTGTGTTTGAAATCCTTTTTGTCCTTGTGCTTGCGTCATGTAGAGGCTGTATGGCATTGAACTAAGAGACAAACCCCGATCACCTGAGAATTTATTGGAACTTCACAGTAGAATATAAAACTTTCTTAATTTCTCCCTAAATGTTATGATCTAGGAAGCTTATGTAGGATACATATAGGAAAACACAGAAAAATGAATGCCAATATGAATTTAAAATCATACCATAGCTGTGTAGAACCCTCAGAATTTAACTTGAAATATGGTAGATTTTAACTTGATCTTCAAATCTAACCATTCTGTAAAGAAGGGAATTTAGTTTTGCAGGGAAGAAAAAGAGAAGTGACATGTTGGGACAGGTTAGCTTATTATTTTGGTGTGACTAAAATTCACTGGATTATAAATGCGGTTTTTCTCTGGGCCTGTTGTGCCCATTTTGGGGGCTTTCATGGGGGAAGTCATACCCCACAGGGCAGTTTAATAACCTGACAACCTTGGAACAAAATACCAACTGTAGCATGCCTTAAGAGGCTCCTTCTAAGGGCTTTTAGAAACAGTCATAGGCATGTCTTCAACAGATCAAATGAAACACCTCTGTGAAAGGAGAGAATTTTATTTGACTTATTATATTCTCCAGCTACCTTCTTTTCATTTTTTAAAGTGATGATTTCATAGCTAGCATTTAAAGAATGCAACTGTGTCATTTTATTTAAAAAATGCTGTGGATTTTGAAACTGAATTAGAAAGCTGTATAGACATGCCCAGAGTTATGATTACGAATTGGGAGGTAAACAGCTCAGGAATTCCCTAGGATTGTTGCGCATGTGGAAGGGCAGAGGGAACCTTTAAATAGCTTCACAGGAACCTTAGTGCTCTTTTACCTCAAAGCCACAGACAGGAAATAGAAGTGGGAAAGTAATATGTCTCCTTTTCTTTCCTTTAAGGAGTTTCAACACTGAACTTTTAAAAAGTCTATCATATTCCAGCAATATTTTTTTCTTTGCCCCATACATTATAAGTTGTATGGAGAAAGTATTTCAGTTAAAGTGTTACTGAGATAACAACAACTGGCTAGTACTGCATGTAGATTGCTTGAGTTTTAAAGCGGACTGCCTGGCTTCATATGTTACTGCTCTACTGAGGCAGTATGTTGGCATTACCTCAAACTCAGGGACCCCACAGGACAGAAGGAGACTCCCTCTATGAGACTGAGTTAGAAGTGGAAGGGTAATGAGGATTTTGTCCAAGCCTCTGGAAGGGATAGTGTGTTTATTGGGAGAACCCCTGGGACCAGGAGGAGGGATGCCCAGGGTCACATTCTGAAACCCCTAAGACATCACTGCGTGAGGTGGAGGGAGAGCCACTGCCAGAGGCTGCTGCAAATGTCCTCTGGGAAGTGCTAGTAGGGACCCTCAGCTGCAGACCCAGGGGATCCCAATCCCTGATCCCTGCCTGAAAAGTGGCTGTTGCTGCTTTGTGTCCTCCAGTGTCACAGGAATGCTGTGGCCAAGACACCTTGCTTTAGTCTTCGTTTTCTAAACCTGTCACTGCCTCTTCATTGTGGTGACAGACTACCTGATTCCCCATTGCTCAGCCTCAGGTTTATTTTGGGGGTAATTCAGCATCTGGCCCTCCAAGTCTTGTAGGGGTTAGTTGGACCATTGTGTAAGTTTGTTTGCATGTCTTGCCTCTCTCTGGGTTGCACTCACACTCACACTGCTCTGGCAAACTTATATATAGATACACACACACACAATATCTCACCTGGCTAAGGTTTTTAGAAGTTTACAAAGATAAACAATAATCTGTTTCACCAGATGGAACGAGTTGCAAGTAAGATTATTGGAGCTATTAGATCTAGCTCTAATGGTTTGGATTCATTGCTGCAAACCTACATAATTCAACATATTTATTTACTTTAGTGTGACAATTGATTAACAAAAATGGAGCAATCTGAATTATACAAAGTGAACTATAGAGGAATAAAAGTAACATATGAATATATTTTGCAAATGTCACATTAATTAAAAAACAAGTATGATTGATTTTGTTAAAGTGGGCATTCTTCACTGTTTCCAGACCTTTGTATGTATTTATATCTTTTTTTTTTTTTTTTTTGCCAAATAAGGTGTTCTTTTCCCTGTAACATAAAGGTTATTTTTAAATACAACTAATCAGGCCCTAAGTGCAAAAAAGTTCTGTCTTGGTGCTTATCACTGGTATAATTATTCCTTTTATTTTCCTAACTTTGCTCTTAGGAGCATGAATCTCTTTGTAGCTTTTATGGTAATGGAATATTTCTAGTCATTTACTGTCAAAAACAAATTTTTTACATTGTACAAGTGAAGATTGTTTTCATGGTTAAATGATTGGTACTAATGTATATAGAGTAAAATTATTGCAAAATTTTAAAATGTTTTTTCTTAACTTGGTGTTCTTTTTAAATACTCTGAAAAATATATGAAAATGATAAAACTTTGGTCATACTAAGTCAGAATGTTAAGAGTTCTTTTAGATTTTATAATCAAGACTTGCTTATAAATATTTGTGACATCAAGCTCTTACTATTTTAGTTGTCGTAAAAGGATGGTAAATGAGTCATGAATTGGTTTGGTTATTTTAAAATTCTTGATGTGAATTTCACCATTGATCAACCATGTGTATTCATATAAATGTACTTTCTCTTGTTCCCTGTTACCAGACTAATCTTCAAGAACGTGGATTTTTCATGTCATTAATCTCATGCTCAAGTACTTAAAATGGTTCTCTTTTGTCCAACAGTCTGAGAGTCTTCATTTTGGTACAGTGGAGTCACAACTTTAAAGTGGTTAGGTTTTAAAGACTGTGCCTAAGGACAAAATCGAGCATGCTCAAAATGATCCTTGAAAGTCTAAATTGCTAATAAAATTCTCTTTATAGTCGTAAAGTTTAAATCCATGGGGAGTGTAGGTATGAATATATTATGCATATAGTAAGTATAATATATATTAACTGCATATCAATATTTGACTTTTATAGCATTAATAATTATACTTTTTAAATATGTATGTCATTTGCCAATAGGTATGGTTGAATTTATGTATATTTATTGCTAATCCCATCCCTTATGAGAAATCTAGAGTGTAAGCTCCCCAAGGGCAGAGGTTTTTATCTGATTTATTCATGGATCTATCCTCAGAGCCTAGAACAGGGCCTGGCACATGCTAAGCATTCAATAAATATTTACTGAGTGAATGAACTCTGATGTATATACCTCTTTATACTTTGGTTTCACTTTATCCTACTAGCTCCTATTCAGTTCAATGAAAACAAAACCTTTTTTTGAATATACATCAGTTTTACATGAGGAACTTGGTGGGGCAGTGAGGGCTGGAGGTGAATAAGATGTGTCCTTGCCCTTAAGAAAGGATAGTGGCCTAGTTGGGGAAATAGACATATAAGCAACTACATTGAAGAAGGAATGAAGTAAGTGTCATGGAAGGGGCATGGGAGCCATGCTGTGGGGGACAGAAGGAGCCTTTAGTCCTGAGGGAGGGCTCTGGGCAGGCTGTAGGGGAGAGGAAGGGCCTAGTAAACAAGGCCCACGAGGACCAAGAGATTGTCAGTAAGTGGGAGGCGTTGGGTCAAGGGAACAGCATGAGGTGTGCCATTTCTGTTCCTGGACACATTTCCCTTGTCTTTCCAGACTTCCTCTCATTACTTCTTCCCACTCACCCACTACCACCCCCACTAATCCAGATTGTACACTGCTCAGTCCCACCTGCTTGAGAAATATCTAGGTCCAGTACACAGCTCTACTAATACTATTTCTAAACTCAATAAAAGTTATTGTCTGTCCCATATACTTAATTATATTTTGTCTTGTTCTCTTAATTGTTGTCTTGATGCCATAAGAAAATAGAGAAATTTGGTTTCTTTGAGTTCTAAGAGTGTTTTATAGAGCACTTCTTTTGAATTCTCACTGGCCTAGGTCAGCAACTGTACATGGTAGATTCCTAGGTAAGTATTAACTGAATTGAGTGATGGTTGGATTATAGTACTGTGTCGTGAGTTGACTAGCAGACCTAAATCTGCATCTTTTACCCTCTTCCCAAGGGGATTCTCAGCTAGACTTGTCATGGCTCAGCCCGTCTGAGATCTCTCTTATTCAAATTCCATGACACGGGCCACATCCATGATGTGGGAGGCATTCCAGAAAAGTCTAGTTACACACATGTAAGATCTTGTTATTACAAGTTGTGATTACAGTGTGATAATTGGGTCACTCGTGTTCTTCTTTGTGTCCTGATATGAAATCATGAGTCAGTTAATAGCTTTCATCTCAGAGTATAACCCAAGGAATTAAAGATCTCTCCATTTGTATAATGGGAGTTATTGAAATAATGGTGTATAAATACACAATTTGCAGGTCACTGACCCAGAAAGAGAGTTCAAGGTATCTTGAGCATAGTATTAGTTTTAGTTAAATATTGAGAAGACCATGACCCACTGTTCTTTGGAAAGCTTTCTTCTTCCCCCTTCACTTTTACATTGCCTTTTCAGAAAGATTGAACTGTATCTTAACTGCCCAATAAAGACAGTTAATACAGCTTGGCAGGAGGTCTAATGAAGATGGAATTGATGAAGCATCTCAATAAAGCTGTTATTTAAACAATGGCGGAGCATATTGATATAGCCACTTATATCTGGATTGTTCCCACCCCGAAAGAGTGGCTTTTTGGCGACAGTGTCTGAAAGATTAAAGCAGAGCAAGTTGCCTTCTATATATTTCCCTTAATCACCACAGATCTAAGTGAAGATTTCAAAGTAACTTTCAAAATATTTTGAAAATAACTTCCAAAATAGTATTATTTCAAAACAACTATTAATATATACCTTTTATAATATGGAGAAGGAGGGATTAAGTAATTTACTCAAGGTTATAGAGGTAGAGCTGGAATTCAATCTAGGATTTATCTAACTTCAAAGCTCATTCCATTGAGCTTTTGCTTTCAAAACTGAAAATGCCAGGGATCTTGTGGCATGTATTTGAAAAGAAATCCCAACTTGAGTTGGTGAATAGATTTTAGACTAGATAATCTTACTGGTAGTGAAACTGGATGATGACCTTAAAGCCTTCTTTGAAGATTTGGATATTATTAGTATTGTTACTATTAACTATTCGACAAGGTAAGTACCTAGAAAATTTGGTACCTATGGTAACATATAAGTAAATAATTGTAATAGCTTTTAAAAAATGAAGTGATAGATTTAAGGGCCTGCAAATGGCATATTTTTAAAGGTTTTCAAAGTTGAGGTACGGTTTACAAACACCTAATTGTACACACCTTCAGCCAGATGAGTTTTGACAAATGCATAGTAAATCCGTGTAACTCACAGCCGAACCAACAACATATCTATCACCCCCAGAGAGTTCCCTGCCGCTTCTTTCCAGTGGCCTGCTCCCCAAAGGCCTGTGCTCTGATTTCCATCGTCAGACATTCGTTCTTTCCGTTAAGTGGTATATTTTGTGTAAAAGGAAAGCAACTGGTAAGCTGCATTGCACATTACTCAGTAACCAACCCCACTATTAAACAAGGCGGAATCCATCCTCTCACTCTTTTTAAAAGACAACTTTTAACACTTGCAAAGTAGAGTTGTTTTTTTAAAAAAACGTTTCATTGTTTTTAATTTAAATAACCAATTTTGATTCCAAGGAAAGGAAAACGAAGGTGCCATTTACCTGAACTGTGTTCTTTTGAAATCCTTCAATAACTTTTGGGAAAGAATGTTTATGCCACTAAAATGATTTTATTTTTGTGATCTTCCAGAAAAAAAAAAAATGACACGGGGAGACGGGGTTGAATTTGAGGTGTCGGGAGACAGCCGGTTCGCCCTTACAGCCCTGGTGGGCCGCGGGCCGGTGCGCGTCGGGGTCATCCGCGCCCGCGGTGGCCGCACCCGCTCTCCGCGGGACCCTGGCGGGCCGCGCGCGCTTCCCGCGGGTTTCCTGTGCGGCTGCGGCAGCCGGGGGCGGGCAGGAAGGGATGCGCTGCCCAGAAGGTGCGGGGGCGGGCCGCGCCCGGTCCCCAGCGCCCCCGCGCTCCGGGTGCCGCCTCCTGCGCCCGGGGCGGCCCGGGGGCGGCGGGAGCGGCGCGCGCGGAGCCAGGCGCAGTCCCGACGCGGGTGCTCCGCGCGCTGCTCGCGGCCCGCAGGCCTCCCCCCCGCCCCGCCGCCCCGCCCGGCCGGCCCGGGCCGCCGCACCCGCCAGGCCCGAGAGGTAAGAAGAGCGCCCGCGGCCCGGCGTGCGCTCCTGAGCCGCGGGGGCTCTCGGCGGCTCCGCTGGGGTCGGGAGAAGCCCCGCACCCCGCCGCCTCCCGCAGCCCGAAAGCGCGGGTGGACGGCGGGTTCCCCCCCTCCGGGCGCCCGCCTCCGCCCCGGGGGACACGCTTTAAAAAGGTGTCCGTCTCGGCAGGTCGCAGTCCCGCCTTTCACCTGACTCGGGCTCTCCCCTGGCGCAGGTGTCGCGGAGTGACTGAGACCCGCCGTAGACGGACCGGAGTTGGGTCCGCGTTGTCGAGACTCGGAAAATCGCGCCTTGGGATAGTAAGCGTTGCAGAATAAGTTTGTTTTCTCCCCCGCCCCCGAATACAGTCCTTTCTGGGGTGCAAACAGTATGAGGGAATAAGCATTTCAAAGCGGTCTTCATGAGGAGGGCCTTATGCCGACGACCCCAGGGCTAGACTTCCGAGCTTGAACTTGACTTGCGGGGCTCGGGAAAGTTGAGTAGATGGGGCAGGCGCGCGGATTCCCAGGGAAGCTGCCCCCTAACCGCGGGGCCAGGGCAGAGCAGACTGCACTGAGTACATAAATAAAGCCTGTTTACGCCAGCTGCTTTGGAATTAGGGATTTCCTTCTCATAAATATTATTCTTAGATCCACACACGAGCATGTGCATGTTTGTCAAAAGGGACAAAATCACTTTGCCTCTTTTTGTTTTCCCTTTTATCCTTTGACAAGTCATCGGTCCCATGGATATTAGCCTAATTCATTTTCTTTTTCTGCAGCTATGGAGAGGGATATAGAAGCGTCTGTCTTAGCTGGTTTCAGCAAAAACGTGGGGTCTAAGGTTGAGTGATGCTATTAGCCATTGAGAATACTCACTTCTCCCCACCCTCTCAGCCAGTGCATTTAGAATTTCTCTATAAACTTTTATGTATGTGAAGGCTATATAAAAGTATTTTCAAATGTGGTAAAGTATACTTAAGTTCTTATTTGCTTAGAACGATTCTCAAGCCAAACATTGTAAGTAGCAAGTCATGGTATTGGGAACAACATTTCAGAGAAAATAAGCAAGTAAGGTTGGAAAAAAAAATACAGAAGCATGTTATGATTTTGATATGACAATCATTGATAGGCTGGTTTGTTAAGTCCATTTCCATTCAGTTCTAAACATAGATTATCACACAATTCTGTTTTTATCGGTCATTTTCATAAGAAGGAAAATGTGTTATAATCACAAAATCATTTACGATTAGGGGCTTTAACTTCTATAGTGGTAGAAGTGAGCAATTTGGGAGTTGCCAGTTCAACTTTGGGGAGCTAGCTTCTACTCCTTAGTTTGGTTACTGAGTATCAGTGACTTAAAGAAAGCATTTTAATTGCCCAAAGTGCCCACACTTGTCCAAGGGATATGGTGATGCCTTCTGCAAGGGCCTCACCTGCTGTCTTTGGCTGGGTTTCCCAGTCCATGTTCAAGGAAAAGATTAGGTCAAATCTGTGGGCAATTCAACTAAAACAGAATTTTTTGGTTTTTTTTTTTTCTTTTTCTTTTTCTGCTGGGGAAAGGAGGGTGCCCTAATCATCTCCATAATTACACTTCAAATCCTTCAAATCTCTGCTTCCCTTTGAGGAAGTACAATATTTCCTTTGTTCAAGCAACTCATACTGACAGAAAGCTAATAGAGACACACCAGTTTCCTTTCCATTGAATTTTGGCTTATTTCACACCAGTCCTTTTAATTCCATTAATTTCTGCTCTTATCTGAAGGGATATAACATGTATTTGGAATATAATATACTTGCCTATCAAAATATATTAACTAAGAGCAATGGGGCACTGTAGACATTAAGAAAATATGGATTTGGTTATGTTTAAAAAGCACATAGTTTATTAGAATCTAGTATGGAAAAAATGTTCTTAAATGCCATGCATCTTATTCTATGGTCTAATAGTCTGTTTATATTAAAGTAAGTGCTGCTTTTCACAAATCACTCTGAACCACAGGCCAACAAGGTCTTCCCTGCCCTCCTAGGTGGTCTGGGAAGACTGCTGTGTGAATCATCTGTATCCGGATGCATACCAGCAGCTATGTTTGCAAGACTGACAGAGAATGATAATTGTAATTTACCTGTTTTCTCCTTAGACTACCCTAAACAAGGGAAGTCAGGGCCACATGGAGTTCACATTCAATTGTAATACTGTGGGTATCTTTTTTAAAGCTTTGCTGTACCTCCTAGGAATCAAGAAATGAAGTAACCCACATGATACATCAGTTGTGCAAGAAAGTGTTAATAGCCCTCTTGTGGAAGCCAGGCAGGGATGGTTTGAGTGTACACAGCTCAATGCTAAATGAAAGTCTGGCAAAAATTTAGTAAATTGATCAGTGTGAAATGTCAAGCAGATAAATAATGTGAAAATGTATTATCCAAATTGGCTATTAGCTTCGATAAAATTAAGCAAGTAACAATAAACTCTCCACTTAAGGATATGTTATAAAGAGACGAGACTGGTGTTTTCGCAAAGATCATCTTGGTGTTGAGCACACCTGGATGTTCTTGACAGGTGAGCTACAATGGACTAGAAGGGACTTATATAATTATAGGTCATTACACCTAGGAAAATTAGTGTTCTCAGTAGTTTTCTTCCAGTATCACAAAGTTTGACTTCTTGGATAGTTTTGTCATTTCATGATTACTATTTTATGAATCACATTGATGGAGCCATCATTTTTTTGAGGTTCTAATTTCAAGTGTTTTGTTTCTTTTTTAAATCACAATTTGGATGTGAGAAAGGACATGAGGAGACTAAAGACTTGGGATTTTGCTGATCAGAATGAAACCAATGTTGAAAGACTTCTCAAATCTATTGTTGATGGTGCTCTGTGACTATGGTGAGTATTGTGAATATACTTAATGCTACAGGTAGCAATAAACATAAGTGTGAGGTTTATAAATGCATTATATTGATGACTCTTCATGAAGGAGGCAGAGTAGGGTCTATAGTGCAACGCCTTTAAAGTGTGATCCTTGCAACCCTGGGTTCTCTTATGGGGTTTCAGGGGTTCTGCATGACTGATTTAAATTTCACTTTAAATATATTTTAACTTTTTAAAAAAATAGTAACAGCTTACTTCCATTTTCACAAATTGGAGACAAACATATTACCTTGAGTTCTCTTTGATTTTCTAGTAATTCAGTATAATAAATCACAAACATGAAGTGATGTATTATATATTGAAGTTTTACATAAGATTTCACTTAACAAGAGAGTTTTTGATGCTAACGTATCTTTGGAACCAATCTGAATTTCAATCCTTGACAGTTGTGCGTTATTAGACAAGTTTCTTAGTCTTTTTCAACCTTAGTAACAATACTGACTTCACAGGGTTGTTGTGATACAAAAAAATCAAGAATGTGAAACACCTTGAATGTCTGAGCTTATAGTAGGGCCTTAAAGTTAGTTCTCTGCATTCATTTTGTTTCCATTCTCAGAATTTTATGCAACTACTGAACCAATAGAGTCAACAATATGACATAATCACTACTTTTCTTTTGATGATTTCCAGATATTTCACAGACATCTAAGCAATTGATGGTATGGAAGTGGAAATTGTTTTCAAATTTGATGAAAAAAAATGTGATCTAAGACATAAACAATACTGGCTTGTATAATATCAGTGTTACAGCCAATTAAATGGATCAGAGCATGTGCTGTTCATTTTACTTAGATCTCCTTTCTCAGTTTTTTGTTTTTTTAAGAAGTTTATTTAAACAAGAAGATGCTTCATTTAAGGAAAACTAATGTGGAAATGAATTCTGTTAAAGTAATGTATTCCTACCTAAAACCAGATTGCTCTACATGTAGCAGGCTTCTACAAACATTTATAAGTTTCTTTGATTGCATAATGATAAATCAAACATCAAAATTCTCCATTTAAACCCAGTGTGCAAGGATGTTTGTTGTTGTTCTTAAGAGCAAGATATTTTACTAGAATATAAAAATAAAACATGAATGAATACAAAATAGAGCATAGAGTGTGAGTGCATAGGTCACTAATGGAAAGTAAGATATTTTCATAGATGTGTTTTTTTTCCCCATTTATCTCCACTTTGTATTGATCAAAATATACCATTACCAGTTTGGTGTTTTTTTTTTAAAGCAACATGTTTATATAGAGACACCAGTTACTTTAAATACAATAAAGAAATGGGGAGAGAGGAAATTAAAGAATAGAGAAAACTGTTATAGTAGTCAGGATGTGGAAGAACCAAATCATAGTTTTCTAAATGATAATGTAGTCTTGTCTGTAGGAACAGGAGTTCTGGAGTAAAGAAGGGAGTTCTCCCTTTATACACACCTCCTATCTGCTGCTGCTGGAATTCATCAATTGCATCTTTGTTCTCCATTTCCAACTGGGCTTGCATGTCTGTTTCATTGATTGGCTTCCCATTAAATCAGAATCTGATCTGCCTCATTGACAATTTCTGTCATTCATAATAGACTTTCATTAGTTAACTAAGTTGTGTATGTCTCTTAATCTTAAAATGCACCATAGAGCCATCCTGCCCCCTTCAGATTCAAATTAATATGATTTTGTCCTCAGTCTTAACTTCTTCCTGTGGCTGTGGTAAGTGCTGGAGTCTCTTTAGCCCTAGTTCACGAAAGGTGCCAGGTCGGCTCTGAACTAGCGTGCGAGCTGCACCAGAATCAGCCACCTTCCTCAACCTTTCTTGAGTCAGTTCCAAGCAAAAGGGAATTTCCCTCAACTTCTATTTTGTCTAAATGGGAAAAAAAACAAAAACTTTATCCTGTTATGGTTTTCAAACAAGTGATCAAGAATTCAAGCCTATCCAAATTTTAGATATTTTATTTCATCTTGTCTCAAATAACAACTAGGTGAAGTACTGAGCTAATTAAAAAAAAAAAAAAAACCCACCTCTGTGTGCCAAGATATTCATGTGCTGATTCTAATAATCATTGACTGAATATCTATAAGGGTATTTTAAAGACTACCAGCCAAAACCAAAAACACATGAGCCCCTTTAAACATATATGCTATGTATATATTATATATGTGTGATGCATATATAATAAGAATAATAAATTCATACTTACGTAAATTGTTTTTCAAACCTAAACGGCACTGCAGTCCCTTAAATCTAGAATTCTTACTCTCACCATGGGCCAGCTGATTGTTGCGTTGCCAAATTCCGCCTCCTTTGATACGTATTTGGACAGGGTTCAAAACAGAAACAAGGATTCTTGTGTGTCTGTGTTCTTTGTCCTTTTCAGCTGCTCTGTGGGGTCTCTTTTTAAAAGATATAATTGATCGTAACTGAATGATACTTGGGAAGCCAATAGTCGTCTGTCCTATCTAGGCCAATACTCATCGCTGTAATGTCATTAAAATTGCCAACGACAAATCTAGTTGTTTCATAAACATTCCTGGGGTTACCTTTGCAGAATAAAGTGTCAATATTTCTTGTGCATCTAAAAATTTCTGCCTCACACAAACTGAGGACACTGGTTCTGTCACTGGTAAAAATTCCCAAGTGTTTGTCTTGAATATCAGAAAATAATAACTTTGAAGTAAATTTAGGGTCTTACATTTAAAATAATCTACAGCAGTTTGTGTTGTGTCATTTAAATAGAGCTTTCTCTTACTTCTCTCTATGTCCATTTCCCCTAAATACCAGAATATGATTAAAATGGAAAATGAGAGGTACTGGATTTTTGTCCTGAGAATTGTCAGTTATTCTAGCTTTATAGATTTTCATTACAGATATATTACATCGTTGAGCATTGTGAATTCAGAGTATCCTTAATTATTTTAAATATAACTATGAAAAATGAAGACGATGGAACAGAGCCACTTTAGAATGGAAAGCTGCCCAGCTCCCAGATCTGTACTCAGCATCATTTTGCATTACCCTTGGCTCAATGCTAACTTCTCTTCTGTCTAAAGTGCTGTTTTTGAGCCGGGCATGGTAGTGTGGGCTTGTAGTCCCAGCTACTCAGGAGGCTGAGGTGGGAGGATTGCCTGAGTCTGGGAGTTCGAGGTTGCAGTGAGCTATGATTGTGCCACTGCACTCCAGTCTGGGTGACAGAACAAGACCTTGTCTATTAAAAAAAAAAAAAATGTACCTCTTAAAAACCAACCCTGACCATTTTGTTTCAGTTCTTGGAGAAGCTGAATATCTCTTCTTGGGAGAGCCAGGCCATGTAGCGCTAAGCAACAAGACGGTGTCTGTGGCTTTCCAGTATGCTGATGGGGCTAATGGGACGCTGAGGAATGTGTCTGTCCTGCTGTTGGAGGCCAACACCAATCAGACTGTTAGCACGAAGTACCTCCTGACCAACCAGTCCCGGGGAACGCTCGAGTTCGAGTGCTTCTATTTCAAGGAGGCTGGCGATTACAGGTTCACAATGACTCTGGAAGCGACACACAATGGCACTCCAGTCTCCCAGTGGGAGAAAAGTGCCTTTCTGAAGGTGGAATGGCCTGTCTTTCACGTCGACTTGAATAGGACCTCCAAGGCAGCAGAAGGCACCTTCCAGGTGGGCCTTTTCACCAGTCAACCGCTATGCCCATTTCCTGGGGACAAGCCCGACATCATGGTGGACGTCACCTTCACCAACAGTCTTCCCCAGGCAAGAACAAGTCCGGGAAAGCCGCTGGAGATAAGGGCCAGCAAAAGGACAGAGCTTGCTCAAGGTCAGTGGGTTGAGTTTGGCTGTGCACCTGTGGGGCCAGAAGCCTATGTCACCGTGGTGCTGAGGCTGCTTGGGCGAGACTCGGTCATCACCTCCACGGGGCCCATTGACTTGGCCCAGAAGTTCGGATACAAACTGGTGATGGTGCCAGAGCTCACGTGCGAGTCCGGCGTGGAGGTGACGGTGCTGCCCCCGCCTTGTATCTTCGTCCAGGGAGCGATCGCTGTCTTCAAGGACGCCCCCGGACACCCTGCGGGGAGGAGTGTTCAGCTGGCCGAGAACAACCTGCCCCTGGGAGAGAGGAGAACAGTATTTAACTGTACCTTGTTTGACGTGGGGAAGAATAAATACTGCTTTGACTTTGGCATTTCAAGCAGAAGCCATTTTTCTGCAAAGGAGAAGGAGTGCATGCTAATCCAGAGAAATATAGGTTGGTATTGAGATTTTTAAAACATTTTTAAGTCAAATCTGTGTCTTCATGTACTCAAAATTATTATCTATAATTTTAGGTGAACTTTAGGCAGTTGTACCATCATTTTTATGGTTCTTTCCTTATACTGTACCAATTGACATCATCATTCTTATCTGAAGAATTAAGACTAGTGGTAAACAGACCCACTTAACCTCTTTAGGTCTCAGTTTCCCCCTTGGTAAAATAGGGATAATAAAATACCTACCTCAGAGTTGTGAAGACTGAATGAAATAAACATGTAACCTTCTCAGCTGGCATATAGAAAGTGCTCAATAAACATTAGCTATAATTATATTTTAAAAATCCTGTTACTATATCATACGGTAAGTCCATGGCAGACACGACTAGAACTCAAAGCTAAATCCCAAACTGTAGTTAGCAATTTCTGTCTGCCTGTAGCTGAGCATTCTCTCTTTTCTCTTACATCATTCATTACAGGAATAAAGACTTAGAAATCAAAACAGATTTGATCTGAAAACTTCTCCAGATTCTGAGTTTTTGGTGCAAGGCCCTGCCTAATCACAAAGAAGCGGGGTTGTGACAATTCCATCCATTCCCCACACTGCTCTTTGTATTTCTTTCCCTTTTCCTGGCTACAGCCCTGGTCTTAGCATGGTTTTATTTATTTATTTTTGAGACAGAGTCTCACTCTGTTGCCTGGGCTAGAGTGCCATGGCATCAGCCTAGCTCACAGCAACTTCAAACTTCTGGGCTCAAGTGATCCTCCTGCCTCAGCCTCCCGAGTAGCTGGGACTAGAGGCATGTGCCACCACGCCTGGCTAATTTTTTCTATTTTTAGTTGTTTGGCTAATTTCTTTGTATTTATAGTAGAGACGGGGTCTCGCTCTTGTTCAGGCTGGTCTCGAATTCCTGAACTCAAGCAATCCTTCCGCCTCGGCCTCCCAAAGTGCTAGGATTGCAGGCGTGAGCCACCACGCCCGGCAGCATGGTTTTAATTTGGCGGAGGTGGTCTGGTTCGCTTGCCTGCTGTTCTCGTCTTCATCCCCACTAAGCCCAGTGCCCCCTGACTGCAGAAGCCTCTGACTATGTTTGTCTGTAGCCCCGTGTTCCTTGCTGCAAATTTACCCCCTCCCTCTTCCCAGAAGTCCCTTTCCTTCGGCTCCCTCCCCATCCACTGGCCACTTTCCAGCTTGCACTCACCTCTCTATCCAGCTTAGATTCCGTGGCCCATCTCTTTACTCTCCTACCAGCATCCTGAACTCCTCTGCCCTGTCTTCCTTCCAGTGTGCCTGCCAGCGCACACCCCAGCTTTGCGTGACTTTAGCCATCTGCCAGTCGCCCGCTGTACGCAGGCTGCCAAGGCTGCATGACAAGGTCACACCTAGGCAGATGGTTACCACTATGGGTACATCATGCCTCCACCATCAGCGGGGCCTGAATGCTGCTGGCATATCACCCTGGCCAGGTCATGCTCCTGCTCTGCACAACAGCCCTTTCCAACCTCCTCCACTCTCCTCAGGCCTCAGCCCCTGCCTGCTGGTTAGTTAACTCAGAGTCGACTTTGCCCACGGCCACACAGCGGGCTGAGAGCTGTTAGGTGGAACCCTGCACCCTCCCACCAAAAGATCTGTACGCCTGCAGGCGTCATGACCCATCCTCTCCCCTCCTTCCTGTCCCCGTGACCTGTCGCTCCTCCCCTGCACTGTGGATGCCAGCCCCTCTGCTCATTTCTGGAACCTTCTGCTAGTCAGTACCCCTCTCTCTCTTCCATCTTCAACTGTCCCTCCTTTCTTGGATCATTCTCATCAGCTGTGAAATGTATTTAATTCTCTTATCTAAAAATAGAACAGAACAGAAATCATCTCTAACCCTGTGTTCTCCCCAGACATTACCTTCTTTCTCTCTTCTTCCCTTTATAGCCCCAAAACTTTGTTTGAAATAGTTGCCTACCTTTTGGGGTTCATTTCTTTGCCTCTCCTTCTCTTTACAACCCACTGCAGACTGGTTTCCACCCCTGGCTCCTCCCCTGACAGTGCTCTCACAGAGGCCGCCGGGCACGAGTTGCAGGTCCCCAGACCCAGGGGCACTTCAGTCCACGTTGTCATTGACCTTGATTCTGGGATGTCACACTCGCCTGCTCACCTCCCTCCACCCTGGCTGCTCCTTCACTGCCTCCTCTGCCTGCCAGTTCCACCGCCTGTCTCACCCCCCAGGTGCTGGTCATCTTCCCTTTTATGTCACACACTTGCCAAGTGATCAGTCTTGACGCTAACAACTCCAGGTGGTTGTCATGCCCTGCTCTTACCCTGCATCCAAGCCCTGCGCAATAGCTGGCATCCCTCCGGTGTCTCAAGGGCCCCTCAAAAGTCTGGAATTAGACTCACGCGTGTGCCCCCAGCCCTGCTCCTAAGTGTGGGACTCCACCACCCCTCTCACCGTTCAATCCAGAAACCAGGAGTCCTCCTCTTCTCCTACTGTACAGAATGCACCACTGCGTCCTATGGCTTTGTCTCCTGGGTGTCAGTCTCTCCACTTCTCCCCAGTTCCACCGCCCTACGTGGGTTAAGCCTCTGCCATTCCTCACCTGGACTCTTGCCACAGATTCCTAATTGGTTCCCTCCCTGCGGCCAGAGGGACTGTTTAACATTCAGATCAGCTGAGGCCGTCCCCCTGCTGAAAAGCCTTCAGTCACCTCACTTGGTATGAGGATGGGAATCCTCTATGGATTCTCCCCACGTCTGCAGTCACCATCTCTGGGCTGGCACCTGAGATACTGTCCTCCCATGGGCCCCTGGTTAGCATTCACCCATCCTCCAAATCGCCACTAGGGTTACTATTCCTTGACCTCGGGCTGGTTTGGTTCCTTTGCTGTAAGCTGGTGCGGCATTCTTTAGGTCTTCTTTTATGGCGTTTATCACTTCTGCCATTGCTTGTTTAATGTCTTCCTCCCTCTCCCTTCCCCCCACGACAGGGGAATCTCATTTGGTGGCAAAACTCGACTTGTGCTGCCATGAAGTTTTTTATGTTCTTTCTTTGGCCCACTCAGGATGCCTGGCACGTTAATAGGTGCTCAGTATGTGCTTATAAAAGTGAAAATTGAACTCAGGTCTGGCTCGTCTCAGTGAGGTATTAGGAGAAAAACAATTAGATTGAACTAATTTAATTATCCAAGATATTCTTGCCTTTTCTAAAGGAGATACTTGTTCAGTGAAAAAAGTTCTGGCTGAATTTAATGGTTATGAACAGGTGGAAGTCAACAATTTGAACCATTTGATTAAAGGCAGTTGGGGGCAGGAGGGCTCCCTTGTTGGTTTTCCAAGCTGGTGGGTTTTCACAGGGGGTTCGATTCAATGTCTAAAGACTAGGGTCTTTTTTTTTTTTTTGCCAGACAGAGTTCGCTTGTGGCCTTCTCCCCTCCCCCCTCGCCCCTTTCCCGGCCTAGAGTGGCGTGCCGTGTTACCCTTAGCTCACGCGCAACCTCAAACTCCTGGGCGCTCAGCCAATCCTTACCTGGCCTCAGCCTCTCAGTAGGCTGGGACTACAAGACATGTGCCCACCGTGCCTGGGCCTAAGTTCTAGGTATATATATTTAGGTTGGGGCCAATTCCCCACATCTCTTCTATCTATAGCTGGAGACATGGTTCCTTCTGTGCTCAGGCTGGGTTTCAACTCCTGACCTTGAGCATCCGGCCTGGCCTCGGCCTCCCAGGATGTGGATTACAGGCGTGAGCCATCCTGCCAGCCAAGCACTGGGTTCTTAAAACCTGCACTAACAGTGGAAAAGATGCTGGCGAAGGGGCAGAGCCGGCGGCTGTTCTCTGCCAGGCTAAGGGTGGTCAGGGGCTCCGTGCCGGGGCTGCCCCCAGGCAGCAGCTGGCCAGACACCGGGCCCAACGGCGCGGCCTGGAGCAGTAAACGGAGGAGCCAAGCACACCTGGAGACCCCCAGTTCTCTGTGTGGCTCACCCACAGCAGCTGTGGCTCTCTCAGGCTGAGAGATGAAATTTAGGCTCACAATAGGAATCTCAGTGACTTCCTGTGTTTTTAGTAGATAAATTTATTACTGAACTGAGTGAGTTCCCTTTTTTTCACTTTCTATTTAGATAGGTCTAGCCAGTCAAGTGTCTTTTTTTGCCAAATGGCATCATTTAGGGACCCACTGTGACTTGTGTGAGCCACTGACTGACACTGAATCTCTTATGAGTTCCTTTTGACAATGGAATAATGTGTATGTGTTTGTTTTTTCCAAGTATGTCTTAAGACCTTAGGATAGTATGTAAATAAAAATTTATAGCAAATACATACTGTATGTTGCCCAAAATGACTATGATCTTTAATTCCTTCCATGGGATAAATAACATTTATATAATATCATGATTACTTTGCAGCAGGCACTGTTTTGAGTACCTTATGGACCCATTTAGTCCTCATAACAACTCTATGAGTTAGGCTCATCATATTGTCTGTGTTATAGGTAAAGAAAGGGAGGCACAGAAAGATTAAGTAATGTGCTCAAGGTCAATGGTGTTTAAGTGGTAGAACCAGAATACAAATCCAGATAGACTAGTTTGAGAGTTTGCTTTTACCATCATTCTATAACTGCCTTCCATATAGTCAACTGTCAAGCCATGTATTAAACAATGTGAAGCTTTTAGATTGGAAAATTAGAGGTTCTATTTATTTTCCTCAATTCACTGGCTCATCTTGTGCCACCCACCCTTCTTGGAAGACGTGTAACCACTTTGGAGTCCACTGGCCCAGGCGTAAGCATGACTTGTTCAGTATAAGTGAGCCTTGTTCTATGCAAAGAAAATCTGAACTGCTTATCATAGAGGGCCCTTTGCTCCTACTGCTACTTATAGCTACTCACTTATGTCTATACAATTTTCTTATAAGCATAATTTGTTTAGTGACCTCAGTCTTTAGAGCAAAATGTCTTGCAGATGTGAATGTTTCCTAGGTTGTATTCCTTCAGATAGTGTTGGGGGCAGAAACAAATCTCCCTTTTCACATTCTGGACAAATTTTGCTCATTCAGAATTAATATCCTCTATAATAGCCTGAAAGGCATATAGCCTGGCCAGGCAGGTTTGTTATACAGCATGAGTGTACATGTGGACATCTAAAGAGGACAAAACAAAACAATAAGACTGAAGTAAAACTATTTGAGGTACTGGTCATCTTGCTTTTCATTTCTAATACAAAACTATAGTTATCTCATGAGTTCCCATTTTTCCAGGTATTTTCCTTAATGTTTTTTTCTTAATTGAGGTAGGGTCTTGCTATGTTGCCCAGGCTATTCTGAAACTCCTGGACTCAAGCAATCCTCCTGCCTCAGCCTCCTGAGTAGCTGAGTTTACAGGGAGGTGCCATCAGTCTTGGTTTCCTCAAAGTTATTAGTGGAGATCTTCAGGTATGAGATAGAGTTACTTAAGACATGTTTAAATTTTTCTGATTAAATTTGATCACTGCTTTCTTTGAGTGATTTCCTGTTTGATTAATTTGATTTAGAAGTAAAGACATAAAAACTTAGGTCAAATGTTCATTTTTTATTGTTAATTATCCTATAAGCTATGATTTTATTTTCAAGGGAAAAGAATACTTAACATTTCAAAATGGAATTTCTTTGACATTAAGATTTATGCTTTTATCAAAACTTTGATTTTTTTTCCGCGATCCCCACTAATGGGACTTTTGTTTTTGTTTGACAAATGACATTATGTATTCAAGTAAATTATATAAAGTAAAAGAACTCAGAAAGAATAACAAAAGGATTCTTAGTTTTTTTAATTCTACCTTTTGTTGTCTTAAATATGAGCACAGGAGAAAGGTAAACTGTACATTCACTTAATTTTCAATTTAGAATTCATAGTAGTGGGATTCCCAGTAGATTTAAAAATAAATCACAATACTTTAACTCAGAGAGATTTTAATATTGAGATTCTCAAAGCTTTTTAAGTACTGGAGGCTTAGTGTTGGAACAGCTCTGAAGCCTTGAGGACAAAGCCAGCTCATTGTTCTGCCTTAGGAGGAGCTACAGTGTGCTCTGGGAGGCACAGAACCAATATTGTGTTTAGTTGGACCTCTGGATGGAACATAATTACCGTGCCTCAGTTGACACTCCTCCAGGATATTGGTTTATAATGCTCCCACTCTTGTGAAAATCCTCAGAGACTTTTAATTGCTGTAAAGAACTCATATTCCATTACTCACTCCAAAGATTGCACCACTTGGCTCACCTGAGATTGCATCTGCCGTATACTTTTATGTTTTGTAGAGCTTTATATACCTTTGGCTGCATTAGAAGTTTTTCTCCATAAAGGATGAAGAACAACCTTTATGCAGAGGATGTTTTGGTGCCTGATGTTGGCAGGACCTGATAGGTCTTAAGGTTGGATGAGTCCTGATAGAGAGGAGATTTAGGTTAATTCTTTATAGAGAACTATTCAATAGTTCTATCTGGCAATAATTAAGTATCTGCTTGGAGGAGAAGTTTGCATTCATCAATCAATAATGACTGTTCTGGGAGAGCTTTTTGTGTATCTTGAAGCTCTGGTGTTAGGTGCATCCTTATTTAGGATTGTTAAGGCTCCTTGCTGAATTGACTCTTTATCATTATGTAATGTCCCTTTTTATCACTAGTAATATCCCTGGCTCTGCATTCTATTTTGTCTGACATTAATATAGCCACGCTAGTTTTCTTTTTTCTTTTCTTTTTTTTTTTGAGACAGAGTCTCACTTTGTTGCCTAGACTAGAGTGAGTGCTGTGGCGTCAGCCTAGCTCACAGCAACCTCAAACTCCTGGGCTCAAGCGATCCTGCTGCCTCAGCCTCCCGAGTAGCTGGGACTACAGGCATGTGCCACCATGCCCGGCTAATTTTTTCTATATATTTTTTTAGTTGGTCAATTAATTTCTTTCTATTTTTGGTAGAGACGGGATCTCACTCAGGCTGGTTTCAAACTCCTGACCTTGAGCAATCCACCCACCTCAGCCTCCCAGAGTGCTAGGATTACAGGTGTGAGCTACCACACCCGGCCCTAGTTTTCTTTTTATAATTGGTCTTAAGGCATATATTCTTCTATCCGTTTACGTTTAACCTCTATATGTCTTTATGTACAAATATGTTTTTTTTAAACAGCATATAATTGGATCATACTTTTTAAAAAATCGAATCTGACAATCTCTGTCTTTTAATTGATGTGTTTAGATTATTTATATCTAGTGTTATTGTATGGTTGGATTAAGATCTGTTTTGCTGGATTTATATTTGTAACACCTTTCTTTCTTGTTTTTCCTCTTTTTTTCTGCCTTCTTTTGGATTAGTTTAATATTTTTATAATTTACTTTAACTATACTATTGGTGTATTATTTATGCCTTAAAATGTTTTTAGTGGTTGTCTTAGAGTTTACAATGTATATACTCTCAATCTACCTTCAAGTATTATACTGCTTCACATGTACTGCAAGAACCTTTGAACAGTACACTCAAAATTCATTCTTCCCATTCTTTGTGTGATTAGTGTCATATATTTTACTTTATAGATGCTGTTAAATGCATAATACATTGCTACAATTTTGCTGTAGACTAGCAATTATATTTTAGAGCATTTGAAAATTAGAAAAAAATGAATTTTATATTTACTTTTATATATACCATTTCTTTGTATAGATGAAAGCTTTTGTCTGGTATCATATTCCTTCTGCCTGAAGGATTTCTTTTAACATTTTTTTTTGTAGTGAAGGCCTGCTGGTAATAAATTTTCTCTGTTTTTATTTGTCTGAAAAAGTATTTCTCCTTTAATTTTGGGAAGATATTTTTACTGGGTTGGTAGTTTTTTCTTTTAAGTATTTTGGAGATGCCACTCCATTTTATTCTGGCTTGCATAGTTTCTGACAAGAAGTCAGCTGTTATTCTTATCCTTATTCTTTTCTTTGTTATATGTTTTCACACCTCCTCTCCAACCCCCATCGCAACCTTTAAGATTTTGTTTGCTTTGGTTTTCAGCCATTTGAGTACAGTGGGTCTAAGTTTTTTGTTTGTTTGCTTTTTTGTATTTGGTGTTTCTGAGCATCTTAGATCTATGATTTGGTGTCTTTCATTAATTTTGGAGTATTCTTGGACATTATCTCTTCAAATATTTCTTCTGTCCTCTTTTCTCTTTTCCTCCTGGTATTCAAATCACATGTATGAGAGTCTATTGGATATTGTTCCACAGTTCTTGGGTCTTCTGTTTTAGTCTCTCTCTTTTTTTTTCTCTTTGTGTTTCAGTTTGGATTTTTATTGACCTATATTCAAATTTACTATTTTTTTCCTCAGCTATGCTGAGTCTATTAATAGTTGAGCCTTCTTCATCTTTCTTACCTTATTATTAAATTCTAACATTTCCATTTGACTCTAATTTACAACCCTCTGATGAAATTTTCCCTTTCTTTATGCATCTTGTTCACCTTTTCCACTAAAGTCTTTAATATATTCATCATAGTTATTTTAAATTCTCTGATAGTTCTAGTATCTAGGTAATATCTGAGTCTAGTTCTCTTGATCACTTTGTCTTGATAGTTTATTGTTTTTCCTTGCTTCTTTGTGTGTCTTGTAATTTTTTGTCAAAAGCTGGATATCTAGTTTGGACCTATAGACACTAAGGTATTAATGCCTGGAAATGGGCATACCTCTGTTTTTGCAGGCCATTAGTGTGAGTATTGGGTTAGTGTAGTAAGGAATTGAGCCATGTTTGGTTTTTTCCTGCTGTTAATGCATCACAGATTTCAAAATTTTCTGGTGTCCTTTATGTTTAGGAAAGGTACTGCATTGCCAGAGGGATTTTCTCCACACTTCTGTTCCACCCTCAGCTTTAGGATTGAGCCTTCACATCAGAGAGGTTTTCACCTCTTGCAGTACCTCTCCCCCAGCAGTGGACTGCTGTTATTCAATACTTGGTACTTGCTAGCCTAAAGTGGGGGCAGGCCATTCTCCTGTACTGGTTCATCCTCAGTCTTAGGCAAGTGCTATGTCCATGAGTATCAGGGATGCTTGGTGATCCTGCTCCTCCCCAGTGGTAGGTCTCTAGAAGTCTGCTTCCAGGATATTTTTGGCTCCTTCCCAAGGGTGAAGGAGTTTTTCTTACTTCATTCCTTAGCAGCATTAAGTCTCTACTCATACTCTTAGGATCACAGGATTTGCTGCCTTTTCCCCAGTGGTTGAGGCTGATGTTTGGTAGAGGAGCTGGGGAGAAGGATTTGGGTGAGGCTTTGTGTCTTTTCCACAGTGCTACCCCTTCCCTCCTCAGGCCTCCACCATGAGGGGGGCTTTGTCTGGACTTGCACCTGTCCTCAGTCCTTCTTGTGAGCATTCGGTGAGATCTGTGGAGAAGAGCCTGCAAGTGGTTATAGATTCTGCTTGTATATGTGGCTTCTCAGGGTTCTATATTCTATGATAGTGCACATTAGGTTTTTAGCAATTCATTACTTTTTTTAGATGAATTCTTCTCACTGGCTTGTATGGGGACTGGTATCTGCCCCAGGTAAACAAGTGCCGCGCATCCCGTCTTTCCATGGAGGAGCCTGTCTTTCTTTATTTTGCCTTATATTGTTGGTTATCCTGAGACCTCAGCTCTCTGGTGGGTTCTAGGAAGGTTGAGATTTTGTAAATTGTGCAGCTTTTCTTTGTTTTAAGGTTAGGAGCAACGCTCTTTCCAGCTTTCTGCATCTCTGGGAATGTTTTTACACACTGACTTTCCAAGGCCTGAGATTTGAGTTCCGCTGCTTCATTTGGGTACAGTTAAATACTGAATCTCAAATGAACCAGCGTTAAAAGCATGACTTATGTCCTTGCAGAAACTTGGGGAATGTGGCAGCCGTGGAGCCAGTGTAGCACCACATGTGGGGATGGTGTCAGAGAGCGTCGCCGCGTGTGTCTCACTTCCTTCCCCTCCAGACCTGGCTGCCCTGGAATGTCCTCGGAGACCTCCCTGTGTTCCCTGGAGGAGTGTGCTGGTAGGTATTCTTGCTTCCCTTGCGAGCGTCTCTATGGAGCCTCCACCAGAAGGAATATTGAATCCAGGCCTGCCTAAGAGTCACTAGCACGAGTTCAGGGGTGGACTCGCTAATGCTCTGTGATTGCTGTTGGTTCTACTAACCCTGCACTTGTTAGTGTGGCTAAGACTGGGAAAAGCTGGAAGAAAAGCTTACCAGTGAGATGATGGGATTTAACACTGTAGAGGATAGGGAAATGACAAGGAAATAGACCTAAATTAAGGGTTCAGCTGTATTAAATAATTTTTAAAAATATAAAAATGGGGGAGGAATGATCATTTTTCCTAAGATTTTTTGTTATTTCTCCCTACCACAACTGTGGAAAAGAGTTTTCCTTTATTTTTTCCCCCCATAATGCCAAATAAGCCCAAGGGGACCACATAAACCATTATTTATAAAAAACGGGCTAAGACTCATTGTCTTATCCCCTGACTGGCATAAGTTTATTCTTTACCACCCTTATGTAGGAGGAGGAAGGGACATCTCTTTGTCTTTTTTTCTCTCCCTTTTCCTTTACTTTTCCTCCCTCCCTCCCTCCTTTCTTTTCTTCCCTTCCTTTCTTCCTTTTTATTGACAGGGTCTTACTCTGCTGCCTGGGCTAGAGTGCAATGGCATGATCATAGCTCGCTGCAACCTCAAACTCCTGGGCTCAAGCAATCCTCCTGCCTCAGCCTCCCAAATACCTGGGACTACAGGCACATGCCATCACGCATGATTAGTTTTTCTGTTTTCTGTAGAGATGGGGTCTTGCTCTTGCCTAGGATGGTCTTGAACTCCTGAGCTCAAGCAATCCTTCTGCCTTGGCCTCCCAAAGTGTTAGGATTACAGGTGTGAGCCACCGTGCCCGGCCAGGACACTTTTTCTCGCTATCACCTAGGGACTGACCTTTCTGGCACTTTCTGAGGATTCCCAAGGCACACACTAATAGCTCTTCAGTGGTTATTTGATGTAAGTGGCCTATAGATGTGCTGCTCACATGGCTTAGTTAGGTTTACTTAGGCTTATGGAGCTGAATCTCATTCATTTACCATAAGTGACAGCAATGAACAATCCTCCCTCTTCCCACACACCATCCCACCTTATGATGCACAACCTCCCTTTGGTTGGCTGGCCTTTGCTCTGGTTCGGACCCTTAGATAAAGTCCTTCTGTCAAGTCCTGTTGCCTTCTGCTCTCCAACTAAGTTAACCATCTTTAGTTCCTTATTTCTTTGGGATCTGGAGGAGTTAGGTGCTTTTCTGTGTTTGGATCTCGGAGCACATTTTAGCCAAAGCACCTGGCAGTATCTCAGCCAGTGTCTTCACCTGTGGCCTTAGAAAATCCTTCTTGCTATTTCATCTTTTTCAGCCAGTCCCATAGGCCTTGTTCCCTTCCTTCTAGCATCTTGAGGACATTATTCTCCCTTCTGTTGTTATCTTATGGCAGCCTCAGACCTCGGCCCTTCTCCCAGCCCTCCATCTGCCTGTCTTCTTTCATGGGTCTTGGGCCCCACTGCAAATCCATTGTTTCTTTAGTTAGATCTCATACTGTTTTCTAAGGCTCTATTCTCTGTCTACTCTTTTCTTTATAAGTCCCATTCAGTTTTCACAGCTCCTTCTTGTGTATAACTTCCTTCATATACATCTTATCCTCTCAATTTGGGGATGGCATATTGTATTCAGACATTCCATCCAGAGTTCCATTTACTTAAATGAATTTAAAAATCAGTTTCCACTGGTGTTGTCTTACTGTTCTTTTAGAAGTAACAACCATATCAACCACCTACTGTGTACCAACTGTTGACCACCTACTGTGTACCAACATTTTAAATACATCATCTCATGTAAAAACATAATATTATTTCATGTTCTGGCATCTTAATTCTTTAAAACTGTGTGGGAACTAGAAATTTGTACATTATAAATTAGCAAGAAGGGTAAGTGCTAGAGACTTCCCTACTTCTACTCTAAGTGGTTCTCAGATAAATGAATATGTGGGTAAAAATGATCCTTTCTTCCAAGTGTCCTTTTTTTCTACTCAATCTGTTTGCCTCTCCTTGGGAATGTAAAGATCTGCTTGTAGGCTGCATAGCATCAGGAAATCTCCTTCACTACAGGCGAAAGGGGAAAGACTTGTTGAGGAAGAGATGGGAAAGCCCAACAGCTTTGGGGCTTTTCTCCAGCTGTGGTTTTTAAGGGAGCTCGCTAGAGTCGCAAGATAACAGCTAAGTGAAGAGGTTCAAAATATGTAATAGCAATGCTGCTACCCACTGTCATCAGCAGCTGCCAGAGATGAGAGAAGTGATACAGCAGGGAACAAGTCTTTCATCATTCAACTATTTTCCCTTGGTTAGGAGTAGAGAGGTTTTTTTTGGCCTTAAAAGAATGCTTTTATGCCAATGCCTGTTCAACAAGAGAGTAGGAGGATCCAATTGCTGTTGTGCCTACATTCCATCTGGTGGAACATTGATCATTTTGCTATTACTTTTTAAATAATGAATCAATTAATTAAACTGATGTTTATTGAGTACCAACTATGTGCAAGTTCCTGTGATGGGGTTGGGAATAGATTAGTAAGACATGGCCCTGTCTTCAAAGGTCTTATGACACAGTAGCTCAGAAGGCACATAAATAGGCTTAATACACAGTACCGTATAGGGCCTGCAATGAGAAAGGTCTCCACAGCTTGCTATGGAAGCTTGAAGGGGTGATAATCCATGCTGAGAATACCTACATTCTTGGAAGTGGTGATATTTGAGCCAAAGATTGAGAGCGGAGAAGGTGTCTCCCAGCTGAACGAGGTGAGGAGGGGCGTTGCAGCAAATGGCTTAGTGAATGAAGGCATGGAAAGTGATGGTCCGTTAAGAGACCTGGAGAACTGCAACAGTTCAGTGTGGCTGAGGGATAGAGTGACAGGAGGGAGTGGGAGAGACAAGGCCTGACAGGTAGGCAGGGGCCAGATCCTGAGGGGCTTTGGAGGTTTGGACCTGTGTGTTTGAAGATCTCTCTGGCTGTAGTATGGAGTATAAATCAGAAGGGTAGGCATGGCAGTAGAGGTGCCTGTTGGGGGTTTTTCAGACATTCATGTGTCAAATGAAGTGCTGGCAGTGGTGATGTGGGAGAGGAGGATTCAAAGACTCTGGAGAGTAGTGGAGAGGGAGGCATGTAGGATGAAACCCAGGGTTCTGCACTGGCAACTGCGGGGACCAACATTCCCTTCAGATCAGGTATATCAGAGGAAGCACAGATTCTGGGAGAAGATACCGAATCTTGGGAATGTTGAGATGAAGATGGTGGGACATCCAATGGAGACTGTAGAGCTAGTGAAGCCAGGAATAGGATCTAGATCTCCTTGGCTCCAAAACTCATGCTCTTCTCCCTAAACTACATAAGTGAATGTTCTCACTGACACCAAGAGGAAGAGAAAGTAGCAAGAAGTATCTAACAGTAGCCAATTCTGCAGGATGAATTTGAATTTGGATATCAAGACCAAATTCATGACCTCGGCAGGAGCTGGTCCATTGGAATGTTGGGGACAGGTTGTGGGAGACAGAGGTGATAATGTAGGACCAGTAAGTCAGCAAATATGGACTCCTTTTTCTGTAAGTGTGGTTGGGAAGACCAGGAGCAAGATATGGCTGTGGCAGTGTGGAAGGCTGGAGAGCATCTTTCTAAAGTGAGAAGAGGGGAGGGGCAAAGATGGCAGACTAGAAGCAGCCTGCACATGCTGCTCTCATGGAGAGGACTGAAGATGCCAAGTAGATATTCACCTTTGGATTGACTGACTAAGAGAAAACATTGGGAATCAACAGAACAGCAAGGTAAAAGGAGGCTCCTAAAGTGAAGGAGAGAGAAATCGGGTTACAGCATTTGGCAGGATCAGAGGTACCTGGGGAAGGTACCCACATGTGGGGAAGGGACAGAGGAGAGAAGCCTGGGGCTCCACACTTCCCCTGCAGACACTGAAATTGGAGCTGCAGGATCCCTCTCTCCCTGCCACCTACTGTAGCAGACCTCTGGACTGACACAGGGAGCTGACTGGAGACTATGCAGCAGGATTGCTTCAGAGAGAAAGTACAGCAGAGTCCCACTAGCTTATGAACCTAAGGTGCTGCAGCTGGTACCATCTGAGGTCCAAGCCCCAGAGTGCTGTGTCTACCCCAGTGTCAGACCTGTTGCTGCCACCTACCCACTGCCCCTGGTAGGCCAGGGCAAATTCTCATGCTGCACATGCTGACTGCCTGTGACAACTGCAGGGGAATGGGGAGATGGAAGAGAGCAGCAGTGTTAAAGGCTCACAGTGCACCTGCTCCTCTACTTCCTGGTCAGTCTTCCAGAGTAGGACTCCAGCACACCATCTAGGGACCTTTCCTTCTATTCACTGAGCAACAGAGTTCCCAGCAGAGATCAGGTGTACCACAAAGCTATCCATCTTGAGCTGAGAAAAGAAGTTCCAGATGAGAAGAAACCAGCATAAGAACTCTGGCAACATGAAAAAACAGGCAGTTTTGACACACCCAAAAGATCACAATTGTTTTCCAGCAACGGACTTCAACTAAAAGGAAACTGAAATGTCAGATATGGAATTCAGAATATGGATGGCAAATAAAATCAAGGGGATCAATGACAAAGCTGAAAACCAACACAGAGGAACTGTCCCCCCACCCCAAATTCAAGACATGAATGAAAAATTCACTAAAGAGATAGATAATATAAGAAAAAAATATGACAGAACTTCTAGAAATGAAAAAGTCATTTAGGGATTTTAAAATACAGGAGGAAGTTTTAACAGACTAGACCAAGCACAAGAAAGAATTTCAGAGCTTGAAGACAAGACTTTCACATTAACCCAGTTCATCAAAAATGTAGAGAAAAGAATCAAGAAGAATGAATAATCTCTCTGAGAAATATGAGACTATGTAGATAAAGCAAACAAATATAAGAATTACAGATATCCCTGAGGGAGAAGAAATAAGGCAGAAAGCATAAAAAACCTGTTTGAGAGAATAATGGAGAAAAAATTCCCTTGTATCGCTAAAGATTTAAACATCCAGATGCAAGAAGGCCATCAAACCTGAAAGATTCAGGCAAACAGGACATCACCAAGGCACATAATTTAAATTAGCAATGGTAAAAAAATAAAGACAGATGGTCATTCTATAATGATAAAGAGAGCAATTCAATAAGAAGATATAACAATCCTAAATGTATATGCACCTAACAAAGGAACTTCCAGATTTATTAAAAAAATTCTGCTAGATCTAAGCAAAGAAAGAAACAGCAACATCATAATAGCCAGGGACTAGAACACCCCACTGACAGAACTAGTCAGATCATCAAGACAGAAAATTAACAAAGAAACAGTGGATTTAAATGAAACTGTAGAACAAACAGATCTAACAGACATTTACAGAACTTTCTGTCCAAAACTGCAAGAATATACACTCTCCCATCCAAGTACTAACCAGGCCTAACCCTTTTTAGCTTCGAGATTAGACATGTTCAGGGTAGTATGGCCGTAGACATGGGCAGAATATACATTCTTTTTATTAGCACATGGGATGTTTTTCAAGATCATATGTTAGGCCACAAAAAATGTCTCAGCATATTCAGAAAAATCAAAATCATACCATGTATCTTTATAGACCACAGTGGAATAAAACTAGAAATCACTTCCAAGAGGAACTCTTAAAACTATACAAATACATGGAAATTAAACAACCTGTTCCTGAATAATCCTTGAGTCAATGATGAAATCAAGATGGAAATAAAATTTTTTCTAATTGGACAACAAAGACTAAACAAGCTTCCAAAATCTCTAGGATACAGTAAAAGCAGTCCTAAGAGGGAAGTTCATAGTTTTAAATGCCTACATCAAAAAGACAGAAAGATAAAAAATTAACAACTTAATATTATACCTCAGGGAATTAGAATAACAAACCAAACCAAAAGCTAGCAAAAGGGAAGAAATAACAAAGATCAGGGCAGAACTAGACAAATTGGAAACCAAAAAAACAATACAAACTATCAATGAAACTAAAAGTTTAATTGAAATGATAAAATCAATAGACCATTAACTAGATTAGCAGAAATAGAAAAGAAAGGACTCAGATAAGCTCTGTCAGAAATGAAAAAGGAGACATTATAACCAATGCCACAGAAATATAAAATATCATCTATGACTACTATGAAAAGCTCTATGTAAACAAACTCTAAAATCTAGATCAAATGGATAAATTTTTGGAAACACAGCCTCCTAAAGTTGAATCAGAAGAAATAAAAATCTGGAACTGACCAACAACAAGCAGAGAGATTGAAATTATAATTAAAAAAAAACCTTCCCCCAAAATAAAAGCCCAGAACCAGATGGATTCACAGCTGAATTCTCCCAGAACTACAAAGAAGAAATGGTACCCATTCTACTGAAACTGTTATATAACATCGAGGAGGGAATCCTCCCCAATTCTATGAAGCCTGTATCACCCTGCCAGAAAAGGACACAACAACAACAAGAAAAGAAAACTATAGGCCGGGCGTGGTGGCTCACGCCTGTAATCCTAGCACTCCTGGGAGGCTAAGGAGGGCGGATTGCTTGAGGTCAGGAGTTCGAAACTAGCCTGAGCAAGAGTTAGACCCTGTCTCTACTATAAATAGAAAGAAATTAATTGGCAAACGAATATATATAGAAACAGTTAGCCAGGCATGGTGGCGCATGCCTGTAGTCCCAGCTATACTCAGGAGGCTGAGGCAGAAGGATTGCTTGAGCCCAGGAGTTTGAGGTTGCTATGAGCTAGGCTGACGCCACGGCACTCACTCTACCCTGGGCAACAAAGCGAGACTCTGTCTCAAAAAAAAAAAAAAAGAAAGAAAGAAAAAAGAAAAGAAAACTATAGACCAATATCCCTCATGAACATAGATACAAAAATCCTCAACAAAATACTAGCAAAGCAAATCCAACAATACATCAAAAAGATAATTCAGTATGATCAAGTGAGTTTTATCCCAGAGATGCAAGGATGGTTCAACATGTGCAAATCAATAAATGTGATTTACCATATAAACAGAATTAAAAATAAAAAAGCCATATGATCACCTCAATAGATGAAGAAAAAGCATTCAATAAAATCCAGCACCTCTTCATGATAAAAACTCTCAACAAACTAAGCATAGATGGAACATACCGCAAAATAATAAAAATCACATATGACAAACTCACAGCCAACATCATACTGAATGGGGGTAAAGGTTGAAATCATTCCCTCTGAGAACCTGAACAAGACAAGGATGCTCATTGTCATCAATTCTATTCAATATAATATTGGAATTCCTAGACAGAGCAATCAGGCAGCTCCAAGTGGCACCTGCACTTGATAAAACATTTTGATGACCATGGGGTAAAGCAGTTTGAGAGAGCAGGGAAAAACAAGACGAACCCACACCACGTGGAAAGTAGGAAGGCGAGTGGACAGCTGAAAATAGAAGAGTGAGAAAGCTTTTAGCATTTAGCAAAGACAGTTTCTAGATATTATTGAATAGAAGGGGGAAATGAGTTATATCATATTGCCAACAATCTTATTTTCATCTATTAATTTCTCTTCTGATATGCAAATTAGGCTACCTAAACGTACCTAAATCATTTTACATTTCAAGTTTTATACTTGGTAAAAGTTTCCAATGTGCCTCTCAGAGGTGTGTTCAACTAGATACCATGTCTCCATTATCATAAGTGAAAATCTTGATTTTAACTTGAAATTTCCTGCATGCTGCTTCTATGCAGAATATTTAAGATGAGTTCAGCAGGAGCTGGTGAGCACAGACATCGCCTTGATGGTGGCTTACCCAGTCGCCTCACTCCTATGGGTCTCTTGTTTTTGGGGTGTTTCCACTTTGGTGGTGACCTTGTTTGGCTTCAGCTGCCAGCAGAGATCCTTATGTAAGACCAGAAATTGTTTATTTTCCTTTTTTCCTTAGCTGCTAGATAATTAGATCAAGCCCTTAGAAACACATGGAGAAAAAACAATACTTTTTTTTTTTTTTTTGCAGCTTTCTGGCCCTCCAGCCCGTCTCCTCTTCAGCCCCAGGTCCCAGTGAAGTCCAACAACATCGTGACGGTCACTGGCATCTCCTTGTGCTTGTTCATCATCCTGGCCACGGTGCTCATCACGCTGTGGAGGCGGTTCGGCCGCGCCCCCAAGTGCAGCGCCCCGCCGCGCCGCGGCTCGGCGCACTCGCCCGGCTTCCGGAAGCACTCGGACGAGGAGAACATCTGCGAGCCGAGCGAGCCGCGCGGGAGCTTCTCGGACGCGGGCGACGGGCCGGCGGGGAGCCCGGGGGACGCGGGCATCCCCCTGACCTACAGGCGGAGCGTGCCTGCCACCCCCGAGGACGACGCCTCCGGCAGCGAGAGCTTCCAGTCCAACGCCCAGAAGATAATCCCCCCTCTGTTTAGCTACCGCCTGGCCCAGCAGCAGCTGAAGGAGATGAAGAAGAAAGGCCTGACGGAAACCACCAAAGTGTACCACGTGTCCCAGAGCCCCCTGACGGACACGGCCATCGACGCTGCCGCCAGCCCCGCCTTGGACCTGGAAAGCTCGGAGGAAGCTGCCGCGAACAAGTTCCGCATCAAATCCCCGTTTCTGGAGCAGCCTGTGGTGGGGGCCGGGGAGAGGCCTCCCTCCAGGCTGGATTTCAGCGCGCCTCAGGCCAGCTGCGCCGTCAGCCCCAGCCAGACGCTGATCCGCAAGTCGCAGACGAGGCATGCGGGCAGCAGAGGGGGCCCGTCGGACAGGACCCACCCCAGGAACCCCCACTTCCGGAGGACGGCGAGTTTCCACGAAACCAAGCAAGCGCGGCCGTTCAGGGAGAGGAGCATGTCCACCCTGACGCCGCGCCAGGCCCCCGCCTGCAGCTCCAGGACGCGCACCTGGGACCAGGCGGAGGACAGATGTAGGCCTCAGAGTCGCAGTGCCCACGTGTTTCCCGAGAAACGGGAGCATTCCCAAGGGGCAGGGGGAGCCAGTGGCCCACTGAGCCCTGTCCCTCGATCCTACACGGTGGGGCAGCCCTCAAGGAAACCGGACCTGGGGGATCGCCAGGCAGGGTTAGTGGCAGGAGTTGAGAGAACAGAGCCTCATAGAGCCCGCAGGGGACCGTCCCCCAGTCACAGAAGTGTCTCAAGAAAGCAGTCTTCCCCCACATCCCCTAAAGAAAGCTACCAGAGGGTCAGTCCTCTGAGCCCTTCTCAATGTAGGAAGGACAAGTGTCAGAGCTTCCCCGCCCACCCCGAGTTCGCCTTCTATGACAACTCCTCGTTCGGCCTCACTGAGGCGGAGCAGAGGATGCTGGACCTCCCGGGATATTTCGGGTCAAATGAAGAGGATGAAACCACAAGTACCCTTAGTGTGGAGAAGCTGGTAATCTAGACCAAGAATCAGCCCAAGACTTTATACACAGCTGAGCTGAGCTGCTCACATTGTTCTGTGGACTGTTTTGTATGACTATTTGTGCTGTAGGACAGAATGTGAGCAGGAAATAACCCACACCAGAGTAGGATGTGTGTGTACGCATGTGTTCTAATTCATAAGGAAGAAGTTATTTATCCTGAACTTCTCCCTTTGTTACCCTATTTCTATTGGTTTATTATTAATAACAATGATAATAAAATTTAAACAGCAACTGGGGCTTGGTCTGTCGTATGGATATGAAAGATGATAAGATGTGACTCATGGGTATGACATGCTTTGAATGCTGCATTGGCAATTTCCAACTTGAAGCAGAAATCTGGGAGCCTGAACTAACAAGGGCTGGGGCAAAGTGAACTTGGTGTCACAACTCTTGACTTGTAATTTATTAAGTTGTGCATACATTAGGAATTTGACTCCTACCAGGACAGTAAAGAACAGGTTTTATATTTGGCTAATTAAGTTAATTATGACCATTAGACCACTAAGCTACTTAGAAATGGTGATACCACAAGATATTCCAGAACTTTCAGGCCAGAGTTGGGTGATATCTTAAATGTTTTTTAATGCAATGAAGAGGTCCAGGTGACTTGACAAAATTATGTTAATTAATTGTGCTTTGGAGAAATAGCATAAGCTGGTTGTTTGGGTAGTGGGTCGGATGAAGACCTATCCACCATTGTTCTAAGCAAATAAGTAAACACTTTGGAGAGGAAGGTATTGTCTTCCAAGAAAGCATCAGCTGGAAAATGGGCAGTGGGTGCTGACTGGGACCTGACACCAGGATTGTGAACATATGTTCATGGACCAGACTGGTAGCAGAGACCTCAGAGAGTGTCATCTTAAAACTGATGCATGCATATTTTTAAACATCACTTGATCGTGTTATTAAGAAAATGCATAAATTAACCTTAGGTATATAGAAAGCAGGTAGACTAGTTTATGATTTTACAGTTTAAGCTTTTTTAATTAGAAGAAAGAGTTAAAGATGGAAAAAGAGGAAAGAAGTCTTTTTAGAAAGTAAGAGTCACATTTGCTTATTCAGTCTTCCACATTTTACAGACAAGGAATTTGAGACTCAGAGAGGGTAATTAACCGCATTGGATAGGATAGGGACTGATACCTTATTGTAGATACTGTGCTCTTTGTACTCTGCCACCACAGCCTTTGCAAGTCCTCTCCACTAGCAGAAACCAGGAGAAATCTGTCCCTTTTTGCAATAAGAGGGCATAAAGAGACACTTCTACTAGCTTTTCCCAAAGGAAGCAAGCTTTCTGCTGCTTAATGAGATGTTGGGACTGGTCTTGCAACTTGCTTTGTTTGGAAGTCAGAGCTAAACAAAAGAACCTGAAGGTTGTATTCCTTCATTGGAAATCTGGTCAGTGACTACGTGGGCACTCTGCAATCTCATACACTTCCTTTCAGCCCTGAACCTAATGACTTATCTGCACACACTTGAGCAGCTGCACTTTCCTTCTTTTTCACCATGACCTCTCTAACTGCCACACCCATCCTGCCTTTTATATTGTTTTCCTTCTTCCTTTTAGCATTTATCAGGATGTCAGTGCTGGTGAGGTTTCAGGGACCATGGGAGAGAGCAGAGTTATTAATAGTTGGGGGAAAGAATCACAAATCCAAATATTGTAATTTTGAAATTTTCTCTCATATTTGTTGCATTGCCACTTAATTTGTGCCATTTTTATTTAAAATTAAGATATACCTCCTTTTGGAAATGATTTAATAATAACTGTTTACCTTTCAGGAACAGGAGGAGTAGATTATTCAGGGCTGTCTGACAACTGATATGTGCTGATGCAAAGAAGAGGAAACCAGGCCTTTTAATCTTCATTTTCTTTGTTTATCATATTAGAAAGCTTTGTTCTCTTTCCAAATTCACAGGCCTGTGTGCCAGCCTTTGAGGACAGAGGGTACATGCTCACCCATTCCTGATTTCACAGTGACTTATACTACAGTGTCAAACTGAGACTGAAACAGCTGTGGGAAAGGTAAAAACTAAAGGAAAACACTATGAATGAAATATTTTCTATTAAATTATTTTCTTCTCCATTACAATCACCCATCTAAATTAATATTTCAGTGAGCTAACACCAACATATAACATGTTCACCTAGCCCTATTTTCTGGGGCTTTCACCAAGAATCAATCTCTACATTTCAAAGTTAAGCTAATTTTGGTCTCTACCTCTGAGAAAAGAGAAAAGAAGATGCCTCAGCATTGTCTTGATGGATAAGTGGTAAACCACATTAGAAATAATCTATTTTTCACCATCATGTCCCTAGGTCCTAGCCCTAGTGGCTTCCATACAGTAGGAATTCAGTAAAGACTTGTTGAATAAATGACCATATTCAAAAGCCCTCAAACTGTATTTGTGGTTGAATTAGAATCATTCTATGTAACACTTTAAATCTTAAACAATTATGAAAGGTATGTATTCCTATGAGATACTGTGAGATTTTCATTTCTAGATGTCTCTCTCCACACATGAAGGGATTCTCATCATTTTGGGCTGTTATGCTGGCTGAAGGTGAAGGTGTCTCTGGAGTCCATTGCAGTCTGTGGTACATAGTAGTCACTTAATAAGTGTTGAATATATATGAGAGTGACCTCCAAGTAGTGGGGGTACTCTACCTTCTGAGCGGTCTCCATTCACCCCATTTTCCAGAGTCTTCCCCACCTCCAAGGCCAGTGCTCTCCAGTAGCTCCTTCTACTTAGGTGGGCTCAGCAGGGCTGGTGCACTCAAGTGTGCCAAGCCCCAGCCACCATTACCCCAGGATAATCCACTCCTGCCTACCAATTTGTCCTCCTCTAGTTCTTCACCCAAACCTGACATACAAAATATGTAAAACTGTTTTATGACTGGCAATTTCTCATTTTATGCTGAATATGTAACTGTGTAAAAGGACATTGCACACTTTCTATAAAGTCTGGGCAGTTGCTGGGTCACTTTTTTACACAAAGGATGATTAATTTGCTAGAACAGCTCTTGGAATTCATGGAAACACATTTACTGGTTTATTAATGTAAAGGAGATTATGAAGGATAAAGATGAAGAGATGCATAGGTGATGTATGGGAGAAGGGATATGGAACATCCATTCCCTGACCAGTTACACCACCCTCCAGGAACCTCTGCATGGACAGCTATCTGGAAGCTCTCTGAACCTAGTCCTTTTGGGTTTTTATGGAAGCCTCATTATGTAGGCATGACTGTGATTAAATCATTGGCTATTGGTTGATCAACTTAACCTCAGTCCCCCTCTTCTTCCTGGAGGCTAGGCGGTAATCATGCCTGGTCTTTCCTGTGACTAGCCCCATCCTGATGCTACCTAGGTGCTACCAGCTGCCAGTCAACTGGTGTCAACAAAAAGATGCTTATCACTTTGGAGATTCCAAGGATTTTAGAAGTTGTATGATAGGAGACTGGGAGGATGACCAAATATATATTTCACAATATCACACACATATACACATAGAGGATCAATCCAGAGAGGGTATAAGAAGAGACTAATAGGGATTCCAGAAAGAGCAGAGGAGACTGAGGGCAGAAAGATGACAAAGACATAATGCAAAAAGAGCCCCCTGAGTGTTCATTAGGGGGAATGGAAAAGGCCACACATTGTTTGGAAGTTTTAGAACAAGTTATACAGAGAAGGTCCTAAGAGCTTTCCAGGGGTGGGGGAACACAAACTCCTACAAGAAACAAGAATCATGCCGATGTTAGACTTCTCATCAGATACACTAGAAGTAGTGTAATAATAGCTCCTGTTAACTTAAAAATCACACAATCTATACATTTGGAAACGAGAGCTTTATTTCTTCTAAATGGTTATAGCCTGAAGCGTAGCCTTTCTAACGGGCTGAGAAGCAGAGCCTCTAGCCAAAGACCAGAGACTGGCATTTTGAGGGAGGGAGGGAGGGGTAAGACAGGAATTTAAACTTAACAGGTTGTTCAAGTATACATGTTCAACAGGTTTCAGGAGGAGCTATGAATATTCATGAAGGTGGTCCTGACACATGCGTATAGAAAAAACATGCATGTAACATATGACCCATGTTCACCTTGGGTCATATGTTACATAATACACTTACTTAAATGTTACAATCAGGCTCTATATGTCAAAAGGTCTTTTCAGGACATAAAGGCACTCAGGTGCATGGCCTCTGTAAAACCAGCCAGAACCAATCCATGATCAGTGGTCTTCTTTCTTTTTTTTTTTTCCCTAGCCGGGATAGTCAATCAAGGTGTTCTTCTTATCAGGAGAAAGTTACTGAAATCAGTCTTTTGTCTAATCAAACTGTAGTTAGGGCTTGTGGAACAGGATGGGGGTCAGTGCCTGGTGATGAGCTGCACTTGTTTTAATAGTGCTTATCCTGAGGCCAGTGCTTCCTTACCTGCTGGAGAAAAAGAAAACCTTCTGGTGGTTAGAATATAGCTTATTCTTTAAGTGTCGGATACATGACTTAACCCTTGTCTGGCATGGCCTTAGGTCCTGTTTATAATTTGGTATCTTGTTGCCACAAAAAGTCTGTTCTGTCATTCTTATGGTCTCTATTTTAACTTTAATGCTGGTCAGTTGTTGTGTCTAAACCCTAAAAGGGAGGGGGTATAATGAGGCGTGTCTGACCTCCCATCCTACGATGGCTGGGAATCGATTTTTCACATTTCTCTGGGGTCCTCTTAGCCTAGAGAAGGTCTGTTCAGCCTGTTGGGGGCTTAGAATTTTATTTTTAGTTTACACTTCAAAGTTCAGGGGGAAAATGATTCTTAACTTGAGACACCTACACCCAGACAAATTACTTGTGAGGGCAAAAGACATTGTTAGATGTGCAAAGACTCAGAAAGCTTACCTGCCAGAAACCTTTTATTGAGGAGTTATTTGAGCATACACTCCATCAGTAAAACAGCAAAGCGATGCAAGTAAGCTGTGGGATTCAGGGACCAGCAGATGTGACCTAGAATGTCAGTTTTGTGGGTGACTTAGCCACCAACTCGTATTTGAGCAAGAATGGGGGAATCCAGGAAAGAAAGGAATTTCACAGAACACAGAGTTGGAAGGACTTGAAGATACACTACAGCCAAAAGTTGAATAAATTATTTTTAAAAAGACTCTATAAGAAAGTCATAAATATGAATCATGTTAAAATAAGACATTAATGGGCTTCAAAAAGAAAAGGATCCCAAGCAAT